TCGTCTAGATCCATATATCACTGGTCCCCCTGCACGTTCAAGGTCTTTTCTGATTGTACCAATCCAAGTCTTGATTATCCTATCACGACACAGTCCATCACAGAGTTTAGCAAGTAACGAGAAATATCAAATCCAGTGGTGCCCGACGAAGAACGTGCTCTAACTAGCGAACGCTCTATGTTGGTACTTATAATGCAAGTTCTGAAGCAAAGATGGAGCCATTAAAGTTTTATTCGCTTGGCGGACCTGTAAAATTTTAGATATGATTGGTCAAAGGAAAATAATTTCTTAATATTTTTCACCCGCATCGACCATGTCTCACAGCCATATTGCAGGATTGGGCGAATCGCAGCTATATAGACGAGGTCTATCGTTTTTATAGTGATTTCGCAACGACTTCATAAAGGTTTCGCCAACCGGAAAAATGCATTTCTAGCTATCCGGGTCGTAATTTCGTCTTTCACTTGGCCATTTGGGATTAGAGTGGATCGACGATATTAAAAATCTGGCACTTCCTCAATCGTCGATGGATTGATAAAAACAAGCACTTTATCAGCCTCTTAGACATAAGACAAAATGGTTTTATTTACATTCCTGAATCCGATTCTCGTTGCATTTGTTGACGCTTTGTTTCGCATTTTTGCATTTATGTCAGCAAAAAGGACTAGATCATTAATCTTTTCAAGATTTGTGATACGATCCGCTGGACTGATTTACACCTGTTGATTGCCTACAAGCGATGTCCATTATCTAATCTATTGTATAATTAAATAACAGTTCTTTAAATTAAATATTTCGAAAGTGTTTTTAACTTCCCTATATACTGTACCGATGTATACGCTGATCAAATGCCTTTATGAGTCGAATGATTTTCTCTGGAACATCGTTATCCTCTCCCTCATTCCCTATTTTCCAAAGCGCTACTCAATCATATCGAAGGCAGTTGGAAAGTCGATGAAATACATGACAGTGGGTTGCAGATATTTGAAGTGATGTCCCAACACCTTTCTTAACATGAAAATCTGGTTAGCACAACCACATCCTGGTCTAAATCCAGTTTGATTAGGACACGTACTGCTATCTCGCCTTCCCATAGGTCTATTCATGGTAGGGAAGAGAAAATTTTCCTGGTCTATTAGGCTGATTCGTCGATAATTGTCGCAGTATGTCTAGTCATCTTTGTTAGTAATTGTGAGAAGAATTGCTCTACTCTAGTCAAGTTGGAAGTTGTATGGCATAAAAAATAAGCAAGCATAAACCCAGATGCCAAAAAACAATCCGAATTTTTTTGAACGTCCTAATTTTACTGTCGAATAATATTATGAAGTCCAAATATTAGTTTTACGAGACTGGCAAACAACACAATAAATTTATTGAAACAGTTGTTAAAGTAAGTTTTATTTCTGAAGCTAAGATCCACTTATACTTCTATGCCCATGATTCGCTGGCAAAAAGATCCTGCCCTGTTTTCGAGTGAAGCCAGAAATGTTTAATGCCAGTAGAAAAAAAACGTTGCGCACTATATTGAAAAACCTCTAAGCACAATGAATTATGGCAATACCAAAACTGTACCGTTCGGTCCGTAGAAACTCATCCATTTTTCCAATTTCTCATTGAAACCATTTGATACAACCTGAAATCTGCCATGTTTTATGAAAATATAAAATCCTTAATTTTCTTTTTCTTTCACCTTCGAATTTTATGAAGATTATTGAATTATTCATAAAAAGTCGTAAAAATATGCAAAAAAAAGTTATCTATATAAAGTTATCTATAAGTTATCTAATTTTTATATGTATAGGTCAATATTTAATCATCCACAGAAGTTTTTAATATTTTCGAAGGATTTTTTATTTCAGCCGTCTTTTTCGTTACTGTTCACGTTGCTTTATTTTTGTCGTTAAAATTATGCACAAAATAATTTGAAATAAAGCAGGTTCTCTCGATATCAACATATCTGAATAAATAAATAATCTCTAGGTGAAAAATATTTTGCAAAAAAATTTTTCTTCAGCGAATTTAACTGCCAAATTTACCAAAATATTAAGTTATTAAATTCAAAAGAACTTAAAATAGGTTGAAAAGTTTGAAAACTTTGAAAACACAATTTGTAATTTGAAGATATCTGAAAGCAGCATGCGGAATGGTTCCGTGACATGGATCGAGTTCAAGCATCGTATGTTTATATTTTACTTCTATATTTTAATGGAATATAACTAGATATATAGTGTAAGTTAAAGGAAAAAATAGATATATATGAAAGTTGTATTATATGACTGAGAAATTATGAATATTTCTTGCTGTGTTAAAAGATATGTGGTAAATTAAAATTTCAGAATCAATTTTTCTTGAAAGTAATAAAAATTTAAATGAAAAATTCAATGAAAAATTTAATAATTTAATATGTTCGATAACACGCTTTCAAACAAATTTTTTTGCCGAATTTATTCTAGATTATTATAGTGCAGCAATCCTTCAGCCACATCCAGTACTGAAATCGAAAATGGCAATCTAAGTGACAATTTATGATTAATTCACAGCGAAAAGAATATCTCAGTATTTTTTGTCAATACAGCTGTTGCACCTTCGACGGATCGACTAATGTCATCATCAGTTTTATCACTTTCTCTATAATATAAGTAGCAAAAATTGATTTCTTGGAAAATTTTTGCTCTATATCTTCGTTGAATGTTTTCTTAAATATTTATTGAATATTTTTATTTTACATGGATATGAAAAGTTATTTAGAAATATTTATATCTGATTAGCTGTACCATCATATCTATTAAGTGGCTAGCACTCAATATTTTTATCAGGGAATCATTTAAAGAACGAAGCACAAGTGTGTGCTCAGAATTATCATTACCTTATATTTATATTATTCAGAAAATTAACGAAGCAGCTTACGAATGATTTGTTTAAAAATATTTATTTTGAAATAAATCAACCATTAAATCGTTTATAGCCCAGAAAATCTATGCTTATAAACTCCTCTTACTAAGCTCTTTAAAGTTGTTAAAAATTTTGAGGGGTGAGGTTAGAAAAATTCTTTTGATACGCCTGTTACGAAAATTTGTATAAACTGGAAAAGACTGAAAATTGCATTTTATATTCAAGTGCTTGACCAGAAAATATATTTTTAGCTTGTTATCTATCTAGAAATTTTAGCTAGCTTGTTATAATCATGTTGCTTTGAAATCGTTTTAAAAATTTGTGATTTATAATTTGTAAAATTTTTAATTATAATTGTCGATAATTGTAATCGCAATAATACATTTCTAAATGAATTCAGAACATAATCTCTATCACTACTAATATAGTTGTTGACTTTTGTTGCTTTCGCTACAATTCTAATTTTTCCTATTAATTTCCCTACAGTTCTAATTTTATGCAAAAATAATTCTCAGTTCGACGCTTTAAATATTCAGCAGTTCTTTGGAAGCCTTCTGATAGGTGTTTGGTCATTTTTGACTAATCCAAATATATTTCCTTATTTTTTGCTTTTTCTATTCTGCCAATAGCTACTTTGACTTATTCATTGAAACCAACTATGCTTGCTGAAATTGGTCAATACTAAAAACATCTGTGATATAATTTTCAGTGATGCATTTAGAATCAACAACTATGAAGCAAAAAGGTGTCTTCCGTAACTCTTCTTTTTGATGGATCTGGGTAAATGAAGGGACGATAGTTGATGAATGAAAGTATATATCGAGAAACATCGATTAGAAAAGAGAATCTTCATTGAATGGTTCAATGATTATTTTCCAGGAAAAATTTTAATGAAACAGTGATAATGCTATTAAATGGGATAGAAAAATAAATTAATCGCAAAATCTGCTGATGGTATAACTTCGCGTTTGAAGTAAATTTGTTAATTGTTCCCATTTCTACGATTTTTTCGTTTAGGCTGAAATTTGCCAGTCATCTGGAAACAGCAATTTTTTATTCTAGGCCAAAATGGGCAAATTTCAGCCTCTTGAAGTAATATGTTGCTCAAAAGCTCTTATGACAAGAAGTATAAAGTATACTGTATAGGATACATCAAAGTGATGACTGTTATATTTGTAAAAAATGAAAAACATTTAAAACTTATCGATTTCAAACTTTTAACGCAAACAGATAGATTTTAAGAATGAATGAATAAATGTCCTGGTTAGCAGTTGGTTGTAGTACTGGTTAGTTGTTTAAATACATTAACCTACCATCTCTTTATTTAAGAGGGACAAAAGGGTAAGTGGCTGTAGATAACTTCAATAAATTCATAAATGTTCACAATTTATAGAAGTTAAATATCCAGAAGATTTATAAAAAAAAGAATATTTCGAAAAATATACGAAGTTAAAGTCACGAAGCCAAACGCCATTATATATTTTAAAAAAAACTGCACTGGAAAAACTGGAGGATGAAGGGACTATAGTTGATGAAAAAACCAAACAAATCTGCAGGAAACAAACAATTCGACGTACTCTAATAATTCTGATTTGGGGCGAAAGCTTCATCTTTATTGAAACTATGAGGAGAAAAGTCAATATTTGCGCTTGAAAAACCACAAAAGTATGCAGAAAATAAATAGTTCATCACTCTAATGAATTTTATTATAGAACCATCAGAGTGTTGGACAATCCAGAAATCAAAGAAAGCATCCAGTTTGGTTAAGCTCTTCATTTGTATATAAATATTTATGAATTAAGACAAACCGGCATTCATTCAGTTCCGATTAGTATAAACGATATCAAGACTTTCTCGGAATCAAAATGAAATTTTTTCCCATGTAAGTTTGACTTTTAATTTTCAGTAGCTAATTTCTACAGATTCTACAGATTTGCATTCCATTCCATGTGTTTTTTTCATAATTTTCTCTTCGTTGAAATTATTCGGAGTTTTATAAAGCTTATCGAGTCATTTCTATCCATTATTGAAAATTGTTTTAAAATTTTTTATTTTTTATACTGCAACAAATAATCGACATTTCCAGAGTTTTTTTTGCTTTTATTTCTATGAAGATCGGCGCTTTCGGTTTTCTTTACAGTTATGGCACCAGTTACAATCCTTTTGGAGTAAGTATTGTAGCTCATTTTTCCTTTGATTATTTATCTGTTCTATGTATGAAAATTTTATAGCAAAAATGGACAGGATCAAGCACGTGTTATACGTAGCTCTTAAAAATTATCAAAATAATTTATCAATGGTTAACCTTACGTTTATTCATTTTTGATTCAAAATCTTCGTTAAAGAATGATTCGATTGGTTGAATAGATACTCAGACTCAATAGGTTTGATAGATTTGATTTTTAAAATGATGCGGGTTAAGACCAAATGAAATTTTCGCTAAAGTATCAGATTTAAATAAAGTAGAACATTACCATAGGTTCACCTCATAGAATCATTCTCTGCTTCATGATTGCATTAAAATTGCTGCTTAATTGTTTTTAAAACTTATTACTGGTTTTCTTGAAAAAACCTGAATAATGATTCAAAGATAACCAGTTCCCGATTTCTTTCCACTGATAAGTTTTTTTTGCTTCCTATTGCACATATAAATGCAATTTATTACTTATATACAATCTATATTTAATCTGACACTTTACTTAGATAGATTCCTAAAATTTACTTTAGTGTGGATATTATGGCCAACAACAACAACAACAGCTCTTAAAATATCCATGTTACGGCACTAATTACGGCTCTAGTTCATATGCAGATTATTCATATGGAAGTCAACAAAACCCTTGCAGTCAATACCAGTATAGTGGTGGACAACAGTATCCATGTATAGGATATCCATTTACTGGTTCAGCTTATCAGCAACCATTTGGATCAGTCTATGGGCGATCGAATATTCCATATCTTTGCAGCGGATGTTTGAATTATAGCGGTTATATGGGGAAGAAAAAGTAAATTATATATGATGGTTCTTTTATTAGTATATTTCATTGAGATATGAATAAAATCAAAAATAGAAGAGTAAACGATTCAAGTCTCATGGACCCTACGTGAAAAATGCAAACAATTCGGATCAGTCTGAGTTTTATATATTTATTTAACACTTGATTCTGTCGTTCCAAACAAGAGACTACCTTTTTTACTCTTAAATAAATAAATCTAAGACGTTAGTTCGGAAAAAAAACAAACTGCTATGTCTTAAGTATCATATATATCCAAACAACTTCCTCTGCAGTCCAAGATTTTTTATTTCTTATATATTATTTTTGTTCAGAAATAATTAAGAAGAGCAGAGCCATACACCAGCTTGTGTACCTTTTATAGACAATAAAGACAGAATATACGACAAATTAAAATAGAATTTACTTATATTTATACTGGGTAAAATTAACCATCAGTGAAATCTATATTACGTTCAAAATTGCCGATTAATTGTTTTTCATCAATCCGAAATTGAAACGGAGAACCATCGCTAAAGGACTACCTGGCAAAATTTACTATTATATTAGCAACCAAGGGAGCAATATAAGCAGAGTGGGAGTTAACCACAGCTATTATATTTGCAATTATTGGAAGAAAAGCAAATTTCAACAAGAAATAAGAACTTTTGTCTGTGGATTTGTCATTGCCTTATGCATTTTCATATAATTTTTTATTTTGCCGAAAGTTGAAAAATAAATCTTTTTTTATGTTGACTTAAAAACTTATGCAACTTCACTGAATGCTTTCCAAGCTTATTTTAACTTAACGAAACCGATTGTGTAAACAATAATCTCTCATTTTCCACTAGAAACTTTCAAGCCACGACTTCACTGTAATTTTTGCAAATCGCAAATCTAAAAAAAAGTCTACTTATCGTCAAACTCAGGCGTTTATTTAATATCGTTTTTGTAAATTTGAGTAAAATAAACAAAATTCTTAATTGTTTTATATGATGCATATTTTAAATTGTTAAGATGCAATATCAATCTCTGATAATAAACTATATCGAAAGAATAAGAAGAAAAGTTACGACATAATATGAGGAGTTAATATAGTTTTAAGGAAATATGTAAAAAAAACCTGAGCTGAACATATTAAATTGTAACAACGTACATGGGCAGTACATGAGAAGAAACTTCTTACCGAAATAAGAACTGATGCACTTGGGAGGAATGCTCTTTTCTTTACAATATTCATCTATGCGACAGGATTAGTACTGGATTTATCAGCATAAAAAATGGACAATTTTGGCTGGCTGTAATAAAGAAATTTGTGCAATATTAAACGCAGAGCCGGAATAATATAAAATTAAATGTGGCAAGAGTGTCCAAACTCCTCTTCCACAAGGCTGGTAATGCAACCTGTCATGAATATGAAAGCTCTCTGAGATTGCAAAATTTGGTCCCATAAAAATAAGGTGGAATATTCTATCAGTTTTATATTGCCTCTTATAATAATAAAGAATACAAAAAAAAATGTTTCCTTCTTATTTCCGCCACTTTTTGCTTTTTTGCACTTAACTGCGACGACCATATATTTTATGTATGAGCCAATGCGATTCATCTTCATTCAATGCACCCAAAATGTTGAATAACCGTTCAGTGCAATGTTAGCGACGATAATAAAAAAGCAGCAAAATTTAATTGCGTTTAATTTTAATTTAACTCAGTTTAAAACTAGATAAAGTATAGAGCAAGGATAAGGTCTGAGAATAATTCATTCTAATGGTTAATTGATCGAATGAAAAAATTTTGAGATATTACTAAAGCCATGAATATAGGTTTTCCTTTTATCAATCCATCACTTTCAGTGATATTCAAATTGCGCAAAAGATCACAAAATTTCGCATAGTTAAAATCGACTGCATGGAAAAGTACTTTTTATGTCCAATTTTTCTCATCCTCAGTAAATAATCAGTTTTGAACCATAATTTAGAGCTCACCCTGAGTTTAGACAACGCAACAGCTGTTTCTTCTCTATGCTTTCAATTAACTTACTTTTTAAAAAACTGACCGAAAACCAAATTGACAGGGATGAGAAATATACTAAACGAACTATGTGACTGAGGTCGAACAAAAGCCATATACACACATTAATGAGAATGATTTCGCTCTTTCTTTTGAAAATTCCAAAATAAAAATTTGGATGATTTTTTGATTAAAATCCTACTGTGGAGATAAAAATTAAGATTATTATCAAAAATATGGGGTGTTTGAATTTCGACATCGCTTCAACAACTATTTCGAAATATTTTAAGAAATAGAAAATATGAAATATGAAATAGGAAAAAATATGAAATTTTACTGATATAAACTCTAAAATCACCAATGAAAATTGGCAAAGGAACGAAAGATTCGAAATATGCAAAATTTCACTTATTTCTTGACAATTCTATTCGTCTATCGCAGCCATCTAACCAAACTAATAAAATCGAACTGCTGAGTAGAAAAATGTTCCGACCTTCCACGTTAAAAGTAGGTGTACAGTCATAAAATAAAGGAAAATTAAAACTATACCAACAACACTATTAAAAGGAAAACAATCGATTTAGTTATCTGATCTAAGGGGCCCGTTTGAAAACGATTACATAGATAGCTTTTAAATCAGAAATCTATTTAAAAGCTTAGATTACCATGAATGCCCCATACGGAGCTTTATTCGTAGTCTCAAACTTGTAATTAAATCCAACCTCAAGTCAAGGAAGAATGGTCAACAGAACAAAGTAAAGAAAAAATATGTATAAATATATGTATAAAAAAAAATGAATAAAAATTGTCGATAAACTTGGTCTCTCTTGTATATCTCTATCCTTTAACTAGATTTCGTGGTATGTGATTTGGTGTTAATGTCCTGCGTTGTCTAATTCTTATTTGGACACAATTTAATACTAATTGGACGATAATTAGAAGGATTATTCATATCTATCACCTTTTTTAAAAATAGAAGCAATAACTTCAAAATTTTGGGGCTTTTATACATTAAGAATAAATGTAATACGAAAGAGCGACTGCCCATTTTTATAAGATCTATAAGGGAATGTTGAACCAGCAGATAAAAATGATTTAAGCTTGAAAAGCACATCATAAACGTTATGAACGTTTATATTAATATTTATTAGAAGAGCAACGATTAGATCTAGAAAACATTAGAAAGCCTCTTGATTTAAAAAAAATACTGGAGAAATAATTATTAAAATCACTAGTAATGCCATTATCATCAGAAATTCCAGTATCACCATTCTTCAAAGCAATTTTTCTCTTAGATTCACTATATTCATTTCTAACATGGGTTTGAGTGTTTGCTCTATGAACGGTTGTGCCGGAAAAGTGCTTTGACCATTAAACTTAACAGAAGATGTTTTATCACTTAATTATATTATTATATTATTATTTTATAATCTTATTTATTACTTACTATTATTACGCAATATACCATTGCTATTATGTAATCTTCTCCTCCTAATCAGATAAGTTTTTTTCTAGTTATCTTTAAATTTCTCCCTTTTTTTTAAATTTGATTATCTCTATTCTCTGTCTTTGACAGGGTTAAACTACCAAGATATCAAAAATCCAAGTGGCTGTTGGTTCACCCATCTGTACCTCTATCCCCAAGTGACACTATGGTGAAAGGGTTAGGTCTCTTTGACGCGACGTCCACGTCTTCGCATGTGCATGCTACTTTTAACCCGGTGATAAATATACGATAAATATACGATCCGGGCGTAATAATAATAAAATAATTCCAAGGTATAAGCATAGAATTTACCCGCGAACCGAGATAAGTATTCAAAACCAGTCAAGGAAGGCGAGAACTTATCCACTAACATTCTGTAACCGCGGTGAGAAGCTGGCTATAGTTGCTTGAAACGTCAGAACGCTTATGGATGTTGCGAGCCAAGCGATCATTGTACATACCCTCTCTAAATACATCCGTCTTCCTCACGTCGGCTCTCCAGCAATTATTAAACCTGGTTCCGAGCAAAGATCGGCTATATCACAGAGGTGTCTTAAATAACTCAGTTGGGGGGAGGCGGAGGATTGGCGTAGCGATTGTCATATTGAAAAGTCTCGATCCGCTCTAATTGAATGGAAACCAGTAAATGACCTTGTGGCCTATGTCCATTTCAACGGAAAGTTCTGCAATATTTCGGTCATTAGTGTATATGCTCCAACTTTATCCACAGATGACCGGAATAAAGAAAAATTCTGTGAGGAACTTCAACTGTTAACAACATCTCTACTGTTGACAACGAGAGGTGACATGGTCATAATCGGGGAAGACTGGGATGCGCGCGTAAGTTATGATACCGTTATAATGAATTCAGTAATTGGCGCAAATATGGCATCGGAGTCCAGTGCGCCAATGGAGAACGCCTTCTTCGTTTTGTCAAAAAGCATGAATTCTTTGTTACTAATACATACTTTTGGCATCAGAGGAAATATTAAGTCATGTGGAATTCTTCGGACAACCAATATTCTAATCAAATTAACTATATATTAGTCAGTCACCTCCGGAACAGTTTTGTACTTAATAGTCGTTCTCATTGGGTCGCAAAAGTGGCAACCACCATGAATCAGACCATGTTATGGTTCGAGCAAAGATTCGTATAAAAGTGACAAGTCGTAAGAAACAACGCATCCCGAGATCTTTCAACTATCTCAAATTAAAAGATCCGGGAACAACAAGTGCATTTCAAACCAAATTATCGAAACACCTCAGTGAAATGAACGTCAATATATCCATAGAGCAGCGGATTAACACTGGTCCCAACTAAAGATAAGTTTACAAAAGTCAGTCACTTCCACACTAGAGTATACAAGTAGTGTCATGAAAAGTTTTGTTTAATTCAGAAAGAGAAAATTTTTGAAAGTAGTGACTTATGTACTCGTCGATGGTTTCATGAATTGATGTTAGAATTTACAATTAGTTGAAAGTTTTATTACTATCCAGATAGCAATATAATAGAACGAAGCGCGAAAATATATATATGTATATTAAACGCATTAAACTAAAAAAAAAAAGAAAAAGAATGGCCACCACGAATCAAGCCAACGTTGAAGGCTGACACGACAAAAGAAGCCAGATAAAATGAAGCAAACGATGAAAAAACACTTAAAATTTTATAATTTTATGATACAGTTATTTCGGAATTTCCGACACTCCCAATTGAGAGAAGATTTTAGATTTGGGGAATATAATATCCAATTGGTTTGGTTGTTCAATAAGTGAAGTTTATTCTTATTGGTTTTTTAAAACTACTAATTTAATTTCAGTCCGTTTTGTCGTTTGATTTGAACGTTTAATACAAGGTAGGTGAAGTATAGAACAGAATAAATCTAATTTTACTTTAATGAAAATTATTGCCAAACAAATTATGAAAACATAAACGCCAAGAATGATGAGTCGCCAATGCATCGTAAAATTGTCCAGATCTTGTTATATCAGTCTTTGTCGACTCCATGTCCTATTTGTTCTGATAGTTCGTTGCTTTCTTGGTCGATTTCTTCCCAAATATTCCATTCTGGCTGTTTGGCTTGATAATTGTTGTAGGTTTGTTGTTGTGAAAGAATTTGCAGCTCGGCATTCATTCTTTCGATCGTACGAGTGATTTTACTGCATTTGACCGCTCCTTACATGAATTTTGGTATATACCGCTATTTCGTTTGGTGTGAAATTCGCAGTGAATTGATCATTTCTATTCCATTTCTGTGGAGGGTTAGACGAATTACCAGAAATTGAGTCGAGATAATAGGTTAAATTAATGAAAAAATGATGGTTATTAGTTTTTTATTATCAAACTTCATTGATCATTTTTGTGTTCCTCTAGTTTGGAGAGCAAGAGAGTGGTTCCTCTAGTTTATTCTTTGTTGTTGTTGTTTGCAGTTCTCTATTCTCTTTCAGTGGATAAAGTGAGTTATTGATCGTTTGAAGAGTTTTCCTTTAAGAGATTCGTACCATTATACTTCTTATCCTTCTATTATTCTGACATTGAATTCTTGAATCTTTACTAACTCCCATGGTACCCCTTGGTAGTCCAGGCTCATTTAACAAGACTATTTCACCAGGACGTGAAATCCGATCCTTTGATCTTTTAGGAAATACTATTTCCCTTTATGAAATGATTTTGAAAAAACATATTTAGCTTTAATATTTCTATGAGTAACCAAAGAACCAAAAATCAAAAATTCTGCTTTCTGAGAATATATTTTAATTCTCTAAAACTACCGAGATATTCGTTTTTCCAGTTTTCCCAGAACACATCTAATGTTTCGAGAGTGTTGGACCAATATTTGACTAATTTATCCTTAGTATTCAATGGGTGGAGAGTGAATTCATCTTGCATAAATTTTTTTTTTAAGAGTCCTCACCATTACTGGTTAAACTCGCTCCACTGGCTTGCCATATTGGGCAATATGCCAAGCAATAGAAATACAGGTGAGTCGCCAGCGCCACCCGGGTTTTTTGCACAGGTTTACTCCTGCGGGGAATCGAATCTCAGCATCGGCGCTCCCAATTGAGCCATTCTATCCCCATCTTGCATATTACCTTCACCTGTTAGTATATCTAATGAAGCGTTGGGTGAAATAAAATCAATAGGCCTTACAATTTTGTAATCATCAATAAGTATTCCTTCAATTTCTCCTGCTAATGTCATTAATTCTCTTTCCCATAAAAGTTTCCTACCTAATGCTCTTCTGAGCTCCCTTTGTTAATCCATTCATTCTTTCATAAACATTTCCGCTTCGTGATGCTTTCTGTACAATGTTTTCCATACCATCCATCTTGAAACTAGGAAATTTCTACTTTGATCCATAATAGTTTTGAATACCAGTTGAAATTGACTAGTATTGTCGCTTAAAACAAATTTACGATATCCGCGTCGCGACACAAATCTGTGAAACACATGCATGAATATTTCTGAAGATAAGATATTTTTCTACAGGTTCTAAGTACACTGCTCGTGTAATAAAACAGGACACCTTTTGACTACACCATTATCAATTCTGATTGAAAGTTCCCAAACAATCAAGACCAATCTGTTCAAAGATTCTTGATTTTCTGACATGAAATTATGGCGGATTTGGCATCTACGGTATTTTGAATGATTTGGTCCTCCATCGTTTACAAGCCATGTATCCCTTTATAATTCGCATATCTGCCGCTTGGTATCCAAAATTTTTGCCTTAATTTGCCATAATACATATAACATGTATTCAATTCCTGCATGGTACAGCTCTTCATGCTTCTGTTTAAGTCATCCTTTTCATCGAGATATAGATTCCATATATCTATTTGTTGCTTGGTTATTCCATCAGATTGTGCTTGTTTTATCAATATCCACTCTGTTATATCATAATTGTTTTTGATCATAAGATCTTTATTTGTAGACATCGATTACAACCATGCTATTTTTTCCTCGAGAATTAGCTTAATAAATTTGAGAGCCCACTGGGTTGCTCTTAGTAACCAACTACTTTTAATAAAAAGGCTCGTATCAATGAACTGGAAATTTTTCGATTTAAAAATTCATTTTACTTCCATAACTATTGCCATAATAGCACTATTGAATTCGTCATCACCGGCATATCTGAATTTCCATTGCGGCCCTTCGTTTTTTTCTTTTACCAGCAATTTCGGGCCTTTCCACCATAATTCACAAGTCTAATTTTAGTTTAATTGGTGACATTCCTCTGGTTGCTTCATCTACGGGATTATGTTCACTTGGTATGCATCGAAAGATAAAATCTGCCTTTCGTATTTCTTCGACACGATTTTGAACGAATCGAGGAATCAATTTTGAAAAATTTTCAGTTCAAAATAAAGCATTTTGAGTCTGAACATGAAGTCATAGGAATATTATTCAATTCTAATTATTTTAATATGGAATGTGCAGCTCGTACACCAATAAGTATCGATAGTAATTCAAACCTTGGTATAGATATACCTTTAATTGGAGCAATCCGAGACTTGGCATATATTAAGAATGAGGTTGATTCCATACTTGGGTATGTTGAGAGCATAAAACGATATTGCGTATGCAGAGTTAGAAGCATCGGTAAATACGTGTATCTCCAATTGTTTTACTGAATTTATCACAAACCTCAGTAAATCAATAACATTGGTCGGCCATTTCCTAATCATCTTGTGCCGTTGTTGCTCATCTTCTCTGATTAAGAATTGGTCTCAAGACTTGTTCTGCTTCCATAAATATTGGAGAAGCAATTTGAATGACATCGATGGGATTAAAAATCCCAGTGGATCATATTGCGAAGCGACGAATTGCAAAATAGTCCTCTTAGTGATTTATTTTCCGGTCCATGGTTTTAAAGTTATATGAATAATATCTAAATCATGAATACAATTAATTCCAAGGAAATTATTCTTGATCGCCTTTAGTTTATCATATTCGGCTATTCGTTCATTAAATCCTTCATCATTTCTGAGATCATAGAGAGAAATTCTCTTACATTCATTGCAGCTTCATTGAAGCGATGAATTGCAGATAATCACTGAAGATAATTTTCGTTTCTTCATATTTCAACAGAGCTTCAGTTCCATAGGCCGAAAATGTAATAATGTCCACATAAATATTCTTCTTTATTTCGGAGACTGTTTTGTTACCATAAGTTTCCAGATGGTAGTTTAATGTGGATGTAGCCGATAATAAAAAGGCGATGAGATGACTCCGAAAGAAACTCTTTTAAAACGATAACATTTTGTTTTCTTCAATTACGTCTTTGTTAATATCGTGTGGTGTTTCTGACTCCACATCATTACTGGTCATTTTCTAATTTAGATAACATCGATAGGATTTGTTTCAATATTTCGTAATCGTCTTTCGCACTTTACTAATATTCGATAGTTTTTTTTATTAATGCCGGCTTTCTCGTCGACCGTAATGATGTTCTAGACAGTGCAATTTCCAGTGCAATTTTTATTTCGATTCAATGACGGTAAATTGTTCGGTTATTAATTTTGCCTTTCCTTTTCAGCTATTCTATAAGATAGCAAAACTTCCGGACTTTGGGGATCAGAAGTGCATCATTCACGATTCGGAATGATGATATAAATTGTTCTCATTTGTTTGTATCTTTATATAATTTGTATTTAAATTCGCAGAGTGATATTGGCAAATGGGATGTCGATATAATCATTTCGTTTTTCCAGTAGATTTGCTTTCTAATTTCTTCTTGTCTTCAAATTCTTCAAATTGTAACTTCAACTGCATTTTTTCCATTACAAATCTGGTCTTCAACCTATTTGCCTCACTGATCGATCCTTGGACAGATCGTCAAAAAATTTTTCGTATGCTTTTTTCCTTTTTGAGTTCCTCGCTAATGCTGCTATCCATTGTTTGCCAAGGTCGTTGAACTGATTTAAGCTCAACTCTATCATTGATTTGTCTTCTCGTATTTTTTTCAAATCTCTTTGATACACTTGTCTAAGTTGGCTTCCGGCTTCCTAATTCCGGCCATCTCGCAACACTTTATGGCCCTTTGCGAATTCCACATTTTTGCGTAAAAACTAGATATAAACTTGAATTTGGAATTTAATCGTAGACATTTCTCAAGTTTGATAATTTTTTAAAACTGTCGCATAATTTCTTGAGAATATAATCAAAAATAAAAAGATAAAATAACGTAACTTTTTAATCGAATTCGCAGTCCTTGTTATTTGTTCACCGGTTGAGCACCCATAAAAAAAAGGATTCGTATTGTCGTCTCTTGTTAATTCTGGTTCGTATCTTTTTCTGTTAAAAAAGGTATCACAATATCGTAATTAATCGATTGTTCGTTTTACTTCAAGCTTGGGCAATTAAACCTTCATTTATATAAAAATATAATCATAATAAAAACAAAATTAGGCAACGATATATTACATTATAATAAATTACAAAACAAAAAATATAAACAATACGATATAAACAAAAAATCAACTAAAGAATTACTTACACACCTCAGTAAAATCGTTAGTCTACCTTTGGCCCATCGTTACTTATCAATAAAATCGAACGATAATTTGTGACCCAAAAAAGAATAGAATCGATACAAAATTGTGGCCGCAGCTACAATTTTCTTGGCCTTCAATCGATTGTGCCCATTTTTGAGCATAAGGCTTACGTTTACAACTGTAAACCGCCAACAGAAAAGGAAGTAATCTCTGTAATCCATAAAATTAAGGACAATAAAATTCCCGGGAAAAAATGATAATGATCTTCGGGCCGAAATCTTCAAATGTTCATAACTCACCTTCAACAAATATATTCTCTGGTATGGCAAAAGCAAATAATACCAGAAGACTGGAGCAAAGCAATTCTGTTTTCAATTTTGTTTTCCTAAGAAAGGTAACAGGATGTACTGCGGTAATTACCCAGCCTACTGGACATATCCAGAAAAATTTTCGCTTCCCTTCTGCTAAACAGCAACATGAGATAACAGAATGCCTCCTAACCAAGCTGGATTCAAACCGGGATATTTACGCTAAGAAGAGTGCTGGAATCGCTTCAAATACCAGCAACCCACTGTCACTTGCTTTATCGATTTTGCAACAGTTCGATTTCGATTTGATTTATACAGCAGCGCTCTGGAAAGTGATGGAATGTGACGGTGTCCCAGAGAACATCATTCGCTCAGAAAGGCATTTTATCAGCACACCCTGGTGTATATGGAGAACTCTTTCGAAATAAGAACTAGTGTCCACCAGAGTTACGTCCTTTCCTCTACAATATTCAACTATTCGATATACTGGATAATGGGTATCGCTTGTCGGCACTCAAGAGGTATACAAATCGGCCCAGAGCATAGCATCACACACTTTGAATACGCTGGCAATGTAGTCCTTTTTGCTGACAGTTATAAGGAAATACAAATAATATTAAACAATGTGTCAACAACTGCACCGAGAATTGGACTCAAAATCAATGTAAATAAAACGAAAATGTTACAAGATGCTGAAAAGATACTTATTTTTACCAATTCGTTACCGATTGAGGAAGTACTTGACTTTAAGTATCTTGGATCCACTCTAATCCAAAATGGCCAGGCAAAGGGTTGATATTGTAACTCAAACAACGACAGATAAAAATATGTTTTTCCGGTTGATGAAACCTTTATGGTTGCGAAATCACCATGAAGACGAAAATCCGTTTCCATATAGCTGCAGTTCGCTCGATCTTGCTATATGGTTGCCAAACATGGCCAATAAGAGTGGAAGAAATTAAGAAGCTACCACTCATGTCTAAGATACTTTTTAACGGGTCCGTCGAGCTGATAAAATCGCACATGATTTATCTTCGCTCAAATACCACATATATTAATAATAATATTATCAATAATATTATCACAGAGCGTCGCCTTCTCCAGTTAGAGCACGTTTTTCGTTGTATACCACAGGCATTAACACATATTTTGCTACTTGCGGACTCTGTGATTGTTGGCGTCAAATATATAAGTGAACCAGCAATATATGAACTTAGACATGGAAGAAGAAATGGCTTCTAACATTATCAGCGATAGCATCGAAATGAACAGATTAGAAACATGTTACCTTCTAGCCAGCGTAGCCAGCCTAACCAGTAATGGTAAGAGCTATAGAAGAAGAATATGGCCTTTACATGTCTTTATTAGAGACTTTAGGATTCTATTTTCCTCAAGTAATAAATATTTTAGACGGATCTATGAAAAGCTGCTAAAGATAAGCATACAAGAAAATCCAAAAAGAGATTTATATTTCAACTTTTTGAATGATTTTAAAGGCCTAGAAAATATCATTGGACCGTTCGTAGACAAAGACAAAGATATGTAATGATTGACAATTAAGTGATTTTAATTTTGAGTTTTGAAGGATGGTTTTCCATTAATTTATTAATATACTAGTGAAGGCGGTAAAGCCATATTTTTAAAATGAAAAGATAAGATAATGATAAGATAATGAAAAGATAAAATTTTAAAAATAAAAACGTCAACTTCAGAATCAGTATAAAAAAATGAAATCGATAACCAAAGAGTAATTTGGATTGATGAAGGACTGTATATAAACCAGTGTTTCTCGAAACGGAGCCTGCATATCTCTGAGAGCTTCCAGGATTTTTTCAGTAGCTCATCATAGCCGAAACATTTCGTAGCACCATAATAAATGATACAAATTATACAAATAATAATAAATAATACAAATTATAAATAATAACAAATAATATAAATTAACATATTTTGGTGATTCCTTAGCCTCAATTGTAATACGAAAAATTTCAAAAGGTATAACCAAAGGAACATAAGCCCTTATTATGAGACAATTTTTAAGAATTTAAAGGAAATAATTCTTAAAAATTTGAAATGGTCTTCAAAAATTTTTCAAAATAAGTTTAAAATAAGTTTAACGGAAAATTTAAGAACCACAGCTCTAAATTATTGTGAACTTTATTTAATTTATTCATTCTTAGAACTGCCAACAGAAAGATGAAACAACAAAACCAAAAAAAAATCATTTGTTTATTTATTTTCGTAATTTCATATTATTCTCAAAGCAAGATCAAAAAAAAAATAATTTAGCAATGAATGAAGTCGTTTTCTGAAGCGAAAACTAGCACAAATATTTTTGTACATGGCAAAAGGATAACAGGACAAATTCGAATATTCATTTCATTTTTTCACCAAATAAATGCTTTAAATCGATAATTTAAACTTTCAACAGATACTTTAACTACTTTTTCTATGCTGTTGGATTTAGCCTAGCAATTCCCATAGGTGCAACACAAGGATCACAAATGAAAGTGCCACTTTCCAATCTTTCGCATATTTTTCATTTTCTAAATTTAATATGCATATTATCGCTTTTTCTGAATATTTTTAGACTGAATCTTCCATAAATTATAAGAGTAATTGGAGCTTTATAATTTTAATAAACTGCCAAACCTTCTGCGAAAATGAAGTCTCTCTCTACTGTTCAAATTATGGTAAGATGTTAAGCAAATTGTTAAAAATAAATGTTGATATTTCACTTTAAATTTGCTTTTGCAAGCTTTAATATAAATTTTGCTCCTTTATTAATTATTTCATAAGATGGTATAGAAAATGCTTCTGTATACAAATGAAGTTGGTTAATTCCCTCATAAAGTCCATTAAGGAACAAGCGCGCTTTGAAACAGTACGCTACCATCTGGATTCTTCGTACAAGAAAAAATCTGAAAATTTTTGCCTGAAAAAAAAAATTTACCATATAATCTGATGGAATTCAAAAAATGATTGTAACTGCATAATTAACATTAACATTACTTCTAACATTACTTTTCGACATTGCTTTTAATTCGTCTTTGGACGGATTTCAGAGAATCTATGAATACTTGAAAAAGTTAGCTTATGTCTAAATCACGTTGGCAGAATATAAATTCATGATCAGTTAGCAAATAAATTCTTACAGGTGAAATATCTTCTATCTATCGAGACACCACATATTCGCGTGATCTTTTTTACCTTTATATTGCTCTTCTATACTTCTATTCTTTATAATAAATGGTCCAACCATTCAGTCACTATATTCTTTTTTCTACTAATTGTTAAGAGGAGATTTTTTCGCAAGAAAACCACTTAGGAATAGGAATGCAGGTTCACAGCACCATTCGTTTCATTTTAATGGCAAGATTTGCTTCTATCAAAGAATAAAAGTGCGCGGACCAAATTTATAATGCTTGAATAAATCGAAGCGACGTACCATTCGACCATTTCCCATCTTCATATTCATTTTCAAACAAGAGACATATAGCCTATGTTTTTAGCGAAAATTTATCTTGAAATTTCTTACACTTATTGTTTTGCAACCCTCTTTCATACCTATTTACTCCATTGTAAATGAGTATCACTGTGGATCGCTCAACTCGTCATCACAAACAATATAAAAATTATAAATACTCCGAAATTCTATGCAAAAAACGTTAAAAGCATTTCAAACCTTTCCATCTAATATTATTTTAGTGTCAAGTTCTATGCGAGTGTTACCCATCAAGCATGAATCGATAATCACTGAACCATCACTCTCACATTTTCTTTGAAAATTTCCTTCGGTCCATCTGCAAGTTGTTTATTTTTCTCCAGATTTCTTAATTTCAATTCTCAAACAATCGTAATTTCATTAAGAGCGCTATAACTACAATTAATTTTGTAATGCATAGTTGTTGCATTCATAACGAAATGCTAATGGTTTATGGAATAGTTGAATATAACTAGAAGCATTAATATTCCAGTATTTTAAAAATTTCGATAAATGAGTAAAAAATTAACATTTCCCCTATAGATCTGCGAGTATTTTGAAAAGCACAAAATTTTGGCATCGTAAATTCATCGTTTGATTCTCTATCGCGATAAATTATTACAGTACCATTTTGATACGAAACACATCTGAAATAAGATACTGAAATGAAAAATGATTAAGATTTGAAACACACGTATTACACCTATAGATTTTGCAAGGAAAGAATCAACTCAAAAGTTACACTTTCATGAGAAGTGGAACTTTACTCCTTTAATACTATTTAAGTATCTCGAAAATTTTAAAATCATCTGAGGTAATTTTTAAAAGATTAAGAAGGCCAAGAACTAAGGTCAAGAAAATCTTAAACAGAATTTGTCCGCTTGTACGCAAAAATATTCTACGATAACTGAGTTTAGCTCGCTAAAAACTTCCATATTTTTTGTTGAGAGGATATGAAATATTGCTATTTGCTATTCTCGTGAGCGGCTGTGTTGGTCATTTTCTCTGTAATATTCATTATCTTGTATTGTGTCTCGCCAAAGCTATAGAAAGAACTTTATTCTTATTGTATTCGTGTGAAAGATATTCTTTATCAAAAGTATATTGATACTATCGTATATATGTCATCGTTTCATACCGTGCACTTGTAAGATAAATGGAAATTCCAAATGGGACCGAAAAAATTAGCAGCTAATGGGGTCGCCTCCAATAATGATGTCAGCTACCTGAATAAAACTATAGAGGATCTAAGATTACAACTAACCTCCATTACTGAGAATATGAAAAGCAACAAGATCTAATTCTGCATTTAACCAGATCTGTTGAATATACTTGCAGAGGTTAACTTGCAAAATGATATCAATAATTTGAAAGCCAAGCCTCCTCTTTGAATAGCAACTTTGAGCCTCCAAATATCTCAACTGAGCAAATATTGCAAACTATTGATGAATATTTCGAAAAAAAAGGAAAAAGAACCATGTTTTGTTCGTATCAATATTTCGGAGAAACCTGCGGATAATGAGTCTGCCGATAGGCTTTTAGTAGAGAATACGGTAGCTGCCCCTGAGATCAAGACTGACTACATTAAGGAAGTTCATCGACATGGAAGAAAGGATTTAGGCAGGCCACGGGTACTTAAGATTCGACTCGAAGATAAGTACGTGGCTATGTCTGTTGAGTAATAAGAATGTGCGCTCGATTGTTCCCCATGGAAGCTTTTTGCGAAAGGACGTAGCGAAAAGAGAACTACTCCTAGACATATAGTTGCGAAAAGAATGTTATATGTGAAATCATAGTCTCAATCTGAAGAAGTATCTTGTTAGAAATCTTCAAATAGTGGAACTCAGGCAGCCTCGCCAATGGTTTGCAACGACAAACAATTTTTCGATTCCAAATTTCTCTCATCAATCTGCAACAGCCTAGGACAACTTGCCAAGTAAGGTTAGTAAAGGTTAAAGTAAGGTTAATAGGAAGTAATTCATCTTTATCTTTAAATATACTTAATGCAAGTTTAAAATATAAACTTTATGACTTACAGCTCTTACTAATTTAAGCCAAATTATTTGGTCCCGATTATGTAATTTTTGGCGATCTTAATATGCCAAATATATATTGGGAAAATAGTTGCTTGAAAAATAGCAGCAAATTTGAAGAGGACTTTCTAGAATTTGAAGAAACCTTTGTACCTATATAGGTCTAGAGCAACATGTTAAAATTGCCACTAGGCATAACTATTTTAGATGTTGTGTTAGCTACTCCTACTTCTTTTGTTGATAGCATTAAAGTCTTGGAACTTTCTTGTAATAGTGATCATAATATCATTCATTAAAATTAAACCGTTATGTACCTCCCCCGAGATATTCTAGAAATTGCCGTTATTGTGATTATGAAATCTTTAATTCTATCCTCGCAGAAAACCGAGATTTCTTATTCTATTTAACTCTCTCTATTGATGAAAAAGTTAATTAATTTTATTAGTTAATTTAGTTAGTTAGTTCATTTTTTTAATAGCATCATTTTATACCTTATAGAGTAAATCCTTTTATGGAAAAAAAGCATTAAGTCGATTCCCATTTTTTTAAAATCTCTTTAAAAAAATGTCAAGAAACTTTATAATAAATACAAATTGCCAAGTGACCTCTCTGCATATAAAGAATTCTTAAGAAGTTTCAGTAGTGCCATTCATAACTGTTTTTCAAATAAAGAAGAGCAACTTTTAAATATTAATAAAAATTCTTTCTGGACCTACATCAAAAGAAAATTTGTAAACCCACGTAAACAATTAATTCTGCAACATAATGATAATGTGATCAACATTGATATTGATATTGCAAGTATAGATCCGTACTAGCAAGACCTGTGGCTGGCAGGCAAAAAGGTTCTTGAAGTTGTTATATATTTTTGAAAAGCACAAAAATTATCTCATATTTTCATGTCTTATTTTAACGAGATATGTGGATTGTCAGTTGAATGTTGACTATCAATTTTTCAAAAAATTGCAAGATTGATTGCTTCTGCCATTAACTTACAATTTATGATTACCAATTTTTATGATTTGTTTTCCTTCCTTTATGAATAACTAAGCTTTTGTAAAATGAATAACTAATTCATTTTATAGTCAGCGGAGCGGATTTATTTATAGATGCAAGAAGCATATGATAGAAACCACATTTTTTTTTTTAGAATCACTCATTTCTGTTAGGTTCGCTTGAGAATATCGTACCAGTAGATTTCCATCATGAGATTTTGCGAAAAATATTAACCAGCGCCTAATGCGTTTTTTTTTGCCAAAATTGATTATTAAAGCAGATACAGTAGTGAAACGCAATATAATAAAAAAAACCTATAAATCGTTCCATCTTCGCTTATTGTGGAATTTAAGAAAATGGGAGTTCCATTATCAGTGAGACAATTTGAAATACGACCACCGTTTCTTGTACATGTTTTATTGAAATTTGTATTGCTTATCCATGATTCGCCTTTAATTTTTTGAATAAAGTAATCTTTTGAAATCTTTATCATTTGCGAAAAACTGGTTTTTTTGAAATTTTGCTCTTTTTAAATTCTAAGTTCAGGTTCTCCTCATCAATGGAATTTTTCCATGGGCATCAATCGAAGTTTGTATGTATTTTTCTTTATACTTTAAACAAAAATTTTTTCATGATCGCTCAGGAAATACACACCTATGATAAATTTCAAAACAAATTCTAGGATTTTATAATGTCAGAAAATTTCGAAAAATTATGAGATTTTTAAACTTTTAGAAACCTATATCTTCTTTATTGCTCTATGTTTCTTGTAATCAAAGTCAAAATTTAAAAAAAAAAGAAATGTTTGAAAAAATATACCAAGTTTATGCCCATCACAGAATGACATGCCGAAAGTGATATAATATTTGTATATTTTTACCAATCCCGATGGTAATTTGGTGCATTCATATCTCTATAAAACGCATGAGGAAATTAAAAAATTAAATCTGTTTTAAATCCTTCTTATGAAGACGGTAGAAATCAGTTGTCAGGCATTTCTTTTCTTCATGAAGCCTTTAGCATTATCCCAGATTTATTACAAATATATTTTGAAAATATGTTGTTTTAGCCTTGATACATTGGAGAGAGATATTTGGCTTATGTGGTCTAGGTACAAACATAAATTTTGATAAATTTTCTCAATCCACAGCTTTTTTCTCTTAGGACAAACATTCTGATAAATATTTTAGAAATGCCTGCTACATTTAATAAAAATCTTCAAAAATTTTATTTTCCAAGACATTCTGTATAGGAAAAGAGAAAAGTGAGAAAAGAGAACCTGTGATAAAAAAAATTGCTAAAAGTGTAAAAAGAGGTACCACATTTTCTTCAGTATGATTTTCACCAGGTGCAATGAATTTTCCACTGGGTGCCTGACATCCAAGCACTTCAACTTTCCATGACCCATCATTATTAATGCGACATTCCAAAAGAAAATCTGATCGAAATATCTGCAAATGAAGTAAATTTAGATTGCTCATCGCTCATTTAGTGCCTAACGCAAATAAATAAATATTTTCAAGCAGCTCTTACAAATTTTTTGATCAATGCCATTGTATTTGAAAGTAGATTGACTTAATGGCGCAGATAAAAATATGGATATAAAGAATTATAAAATTATAATAAAGCTAGAAAAATTAAGAAGTGCCCAAAGATGGACCTCTTGCCTGACGCACAGGCAGGAAAAGGATGATAGTTCCCATGATACTTTGATGTCAAGTTTAAGTTAAAATTTTTTTAAGATATGGAAGAGCTTAGAATAAGCATATTGAATTCAAAAAAAAAGTGGATAAGAATCGAAACATACTCTTAATTTAGGCCATTAATTTTTGAATAAATTATTTTCCACAAATTATTATAAATACTGATTAAACTGGGTTCCTATGAAAAAAAAAGAAATGCCAAAATGCGCGAGGAGGTGAATTTTTCAATAAATCGAAAAATGAGCATTTTTATGAGCTCTAAATGAGCTAAATAAATGAGCTTTTTTAAATTTAAATTTGTCTAAGGTGCCAAAAAGTAATCGATTGGTCCTTCGTTATGTTTAAAGGCGAATATTGTGAGTTTGATTTTTTGTCGCTTGATGAGAATACATTTTTACTTCTTCACAAGTGATTATCTACCGATATATAATCATCCTAATACTTAGAGTATTTATTATAGGCAGCCAAACCACCAGTGGTGAGGTACTATTAAAGAGCGGCCTGAACATTAAAGCTAGAAGCTAGAAGAAAGAGCACAGATGGCGAAAAACTATAATAATTACCATATCATGATTTTATGTAACATTTTGCAATAAATGATATAAAAAAATATTATTCTTAGAAGATAACAAACTGTTCTAAATTCCTGGATGTAGTAAATATATGTAAGAGTGCTATAGAAAAATCGATGAAATTATAGAAATCTGTGATCCTCCGTGAGAAGGATAAAATAAAATTTGAGTTTATATAGCTAATTTAGGTTTTATCAAATACTTCTAGTTTGAATTTTTTAAAATATATTTGCAGAACTAAATTAAAAACACAGTATATCTTCATTTGTACAGTCTATTAATAAAATGTCAATAAAATAAATTGATGTAGTCTACGACCAGTCTCGTTTTTTCAAACAGTAATAAAATTACTTAACGAGCATATGGCTTGCTATTTGATATGATCGAAATGAAGAATTATGGGGAGAAATTTTGAATAAAATATTGTCTTAAAATAATCTGGCGATAACTTTTTCTTTTTATATCGTTCTATTGCCGTTTGCATGATCTGACTCGAAGACACTCTTCTTCCTTATTTGGTTAAATATTTGAATATATAGTTATTAATTGAAAACTGCAATTGGTCGTTTGCAATAAATTAATAGTAATTGGTGTTTTAATGAAAATATGTTTAATGAAAATATTTGAAAAGCATTATCTCATACTGCTTTATTACTAGCAAAATTGGTTTCGATATTAAGAAATTAAGGAATAATGCACGACGATTAATGCAATAACAAGGAAATTAGTAATACTGGATTAGAAATATTAGCAGCATTCACTAACATAAATTAGTGACATTCAAGAAAGAAATCTTCTAGAAATAAACTGCAATGAAATTATTTGCAGTATTTATAACCCACACTTTACGAATTGTTTTCAGGTTTTTGCTGTTCTCATCTAGTCAGATTTTGCTTAAAAGCTAAACTGATTCAAAAATTTTCAACAAAATTCCCCATTCTATTAAACTTGAAATGAAACGGAAAAAAATTCTTCATAAGGACATAAATCTTTTTCTTCTTTCCATCACTCCCCATCCTTAATTGATTGATTTCACCGGGCTACTGGGATAAAACTCCTTCGTTAAGAAGGATCTCCAGCATCACTCGGCAGGTTTCTTGCCATGACAAGAGAAAATCTGCCCGAGAAAGAGAGAGAATCAAATCTATAATAGCCAGACTTTAATCGAAGGAAAATATCACAACTTATCATTCTGACAGATCAGATGATTATATGAACTTTAAATGTAAAATCTAAATCTGAAATCTGAATTCATTTAAATCACGATTTTTAAAAGATTTTAATGCTATTTAATTTATCTACTATGATTTAATGTAGCTTTATGGGGATTTAAGGCATGAATAGTAAAATGATATGATTGATACGATCTTCAGGTTCAATTCTTTGACCTTGATAGGAATAAAACTTTCATCCATACATTTAAAAAATCAGAATGGCGATGATAAACCACTTGTGCTTCTATCACAAAGAGACTCCTAGCTAACTTCTAACCACACTAGTAGCTAGCCGAGTTAGCTTAGCCAAAAATGAACCGGGGAATTTAACCGTTTAATTTTACTGAAATTTAGATAAAAATCCATCAAATGCAAAACGACTTACCCATCTCTCTCCGTTTGATCGCTTTTCATTTTGATAAATGCATGCATAAGCGATAGTAAGTTGGTAGAATAGCACCAAAATGCCGCACATGGGTGAAAATAGTGCGAAATAATTTGTACATTTGGGTGTGTTGATTTCATTGCACCAGTTTGAATGCAAGAAAGCTCAAGAAAATTTCGACATATTTAATTTTCCAGTTTTTCTTATTCATTTTTCATCGGAATCAATTCAATAGTCTAAAAAAATGATGAAAATGTAAAAAAAAAACAAAATTATTTCCTTAAAACTGCAGAAGCTAAACATACCCAACCATCTTTTTTTCGCCATTTTTTCATAAAAATGGTTCTCATTCCTAACCGGTCTAAATACTTGTCCATTTTGTCTTATTTATTACTGATCATAATTAATTACACCATTTCCACTTGGAAGTGTGACTGCCTTTATTAACTGCAGAAACAGCTCAGCTGTTAAAGCGTTTTTTTTTTAATGGAATTATGCAACAGAAATAATAGCTTATAACCTATGCCAATACGAATATGAATTTAACGGTGTGTTTAATATTTATGAAAAAGAATCATGTATTTAAAAAATATGGAAATTTTGTTGCAGATCCTTTCATTGAAAAATGATTGTTTACTGCACTGCTTTTCTCTCAGTTAAATGTTTTCCTCTAAAAAGTTTTTGCTTTTTACTATCATATCGAATTTGATACGAGCTGCAAAAATAAGAGATTGCAACAATATTTTCAGATACTTTGAAAATACATGCATACTTACAAAATAAACATAAAATAATGAATTCGTGGGCAGACATTGCAAGGTCATCGGAATGAAATGGAAAATTATTCGTGAGCACTATACTTTTTCCGACATTCGTATTCATTAAACAAGCGAAAAAATTGAGATTTAGAACAGTTAGCCTATCATTCCATACAAAGTACAGCAATACGGAGCATTCTATTAAAAAAAAGAAATTAAATATTCCAGATGTTCAGTTATTGCTAAGATGATTTTGTCTTTCTGCCTATTTTTATTTCATATAACTCAACACCAATTTTAACTATTAATTTCATATTTTACCATATTCCAGTGGCTGAGCTTGACTTTAATGCAACTCACCATCTTTTTTCTCCCAACAGTTCTCACTATGACTGGTTGTGCTGGTTATAACAGTGAAAAGGCTCCAAGCTATTCCGTACAACGCCATCGCTGACAGTAATAGATAGAAGCCATTCCTTTCGTCAAACGTTCAAGTCCACATATCATTTATCTCTCTATACACTCAAAATTTTTCCTGACTGTATCAGTCCAGGTCTTGATTGGCCCATCTCGCTTTTAATGCCATCCATCATAGAGTTCAGCAAGAGACGAAATATGTGTAAACTCTTGGGTTGGACGACGAAGAACGTGCCCGAAGGCGACGCTTTGTGATGGTTAATGTAAGTGGCATTTGAACGGAAGTGGATTCAGTCAGAAGATTTTATCTGTTTGGAGGACCAGTAAAATCTTAGACATGATTGGTCAAAGGAAAATAATATCGTCCAACCTTATCGGCGATGTTTCGTATCCATATAGCAAGATTGGGCGAAGCGCAGCTATATGGACGAGGTATTTTGTTTTTATAGTGATTTCGCGACGACTCCATAAAGATTTCTCCAATCAAAAGAATGCATTTCTAGCTATCCAGGTCGTAATTTCGCCTTTCATTTGGCCATTTGGGATTAGAGTGGATCGGTAATATTTAAAATCTGGCACTTCCTCAACCGTCGATGGATTGAAAACAAGCACTTTATCAGCCTCTTATATATATATATATATATTTGAAGTGATGTTCCAACACTCCTCTCTTAACGTGAATGTCTGTATTGTAAATTATCTTATACCATTGACTCTCAATGATGAATTCTGAACATTTCCAGGATTAACAGGAATTACCAGAAATGGAGCTATAAGGTGATAACGTTGCCACAAAGCAGAGCAAAATTTATCTTCTGTTTTGAAAAAAATTTTTTATGAACATAAATCTTGATTGCAAGTAGCATAACATGGATGCACAACTGGGAAAACAAATTTTTTTAGCTGAAATCAGATCTGTGAAGATTTAGAATATTTTAAATTCGAGCCCTTATAATTTTTTTGGCCTTTTCATTGTGAACCACTCTTCTAATTTTATTTATGAGACAATTTTTCATTTTAAAATGCAAGCTACTCAAAGCTTCTGCAATAAAAAGTGCTGGGTAATTGTGCGATAATTTTAAAGGTTAAAAGGTTCATATTTTTTCGTTTTATTAAATGAAATTCCAAACTTCACACCATTTCGAACTTCACATTATTAGATCAAGAAATACTATTTTATACCAATCAACAATAAAAAAAATTATCGCCTTTCCCTTTTCTTGCACACATCAACCAAATAAACCAAAATAAGTGACTCTTCTCGTCTCGTTTTGTTGTCCCTAAATGGGGAAAATATCTTTTTACACTGAAAAACTTTATCATAATAGAGAAATTCCTCATTCCATTTTCAAAAGAAGTTTATTTCATTACCATCGGTTTATTCGGTTTCTTTCTGATATAGTACCAATTAACATTGAAAATCACACTCTTGCATGAAAATAGCTTATCCAAACCTTAAACTCCGTTTACAAAGATTCGAAAAAAACCTCAAAAATACAAAAATAATAAAATATAAATAAATATAAGATTCCCATCAAAAATGATCATTACCAGGCCACATTTTCAAACTTACGAAATAAATGTCAATTACTTCGTTGTGAATATCGTTGAAAATAATTTGTACAATTTAGTAAGAAAGAATAGATCTGATGCTATATTACAGAAACCTCTGCTAAAAAAACTCGGACGAATTAAAATCGAATTAAAATTGTTCAAATTCCCCAAAACATTAGAAGGAACATCCAATCTACAATAAATACTGTCACAGATAAATAGAAAATTCAAACACAAAGTAACTTTACGACCATTCTTCGACTTCAAATAAAAATAAATTGCGTGAAAAATGCAGCTAAAAGCACTTAGCTTTTTTTCAAACAAGCATTGACTAATTGTTTTTAGCTATATTTTTTGACTATTAAAACCTTAATTTAACACCAATCAAAAAATAATTTTTCTTAAAATTTCCCATCCAACTATTTCGAAAACTGGAGGATAGAGAGATAAATTGCAATCAAGTAACAAAACTGCAATCAGAAAGTCAATCCAGATGCATACTTTTCGACTATCCTCACTTCCTTGAGGTCCTTGAGGTATGAACATGGTTTTTTATAAAATGAATTGTAAAGAGGGCTAGAAAAGTCTCAAAATGCATAAATTATCAATGCAATGACTGAAATAGACAATTAAAAAATATATCCATTCATTGATTTAAAAAAGGAAATAAATTAAGCATTGAAATTAGAATTAAAAAATCATAATAGCTTGAAATGGTTAATAAAATTAAACCCAAATAAATACAAAATAAAAATCTTCATGGCTCAATCCTCACAACACATTCTCTATGAAAACAAAACAAAAAAATGAAAATACTAGGCACTTCAAATTTGTAATAAACGCTAAAAAACTGTTCGCAGAGAAAAAATAGGTTTTATTGAAGATGTGAAAAAGAAATTTCATCAAATAGCGGAGAACCGTAATTGCCAAAAATATACCGAAATAATCATAGGGTAAAAATTGAGTAAGTATTTGGACGATTATGTCGGGTAATATCAAAATTCTGATATAAATTGATTTGATATCTAATTTCATTTTTGCTATTTATTGATTATGCTAGAGATTTATCCATGAATTTAAATTTTTAAATTAAATTTAAATTTAAACTCATAACACTAAGCAACCTAATTTTAAAAAAACTGGATATGGATAAGACGAAAAAAACGCTCCAGTTATTGAAAAAATCATTGATCTAAATGGTTTTCCACCAAATGAGGAAATACAATGCTCAGCTAGTTAAAGCAACACTTTTATAACACTTTATAAAACAGTTCTGACTGAATTAAAACTTGAAAAAAAGAGTCGCGATTTGTATCAAAATGAATGCTTAGCGGTTAGTAATTTCTTCGTAGCAAATACTGCAGACACGAACTGGATTTTTATGTGAAGGTACTTCAGCAGTGTGTTGAGTACAATTTCCACAGAAAATCAGACCACAGTGCCTACAATGATGTTTTCGAACGGTCAGCGAAAACAATTTGGTGCAAAGGTTACAATTTACGGCTTCCGAATCATCTAGCCACTTTCTATTAAAGTGTTTTGAAATGTCCATCTGAAAAAATTTTTCAACAAATAGAAAATTTTAAAAATATGTCTACCGAAAAAAACAAATTCAAACTCAATATGATTTTCGCATCAAAAGAAATGTGGAAAATGTTGCCAGAACTATTAGATTGTGAAAAATGAAACCACACAACCTGTATAGTTGAAAAATAGTGTCTAAAATATCTTCACCTGCAAAGACTGATTTGCTCTGCCGAGATCATGCATGGCGGAAATTGCGTCATCAAATCGTCGTTTATTTTCCGCAGCGCGGTCCCTTTCAAAATCGAGATCGCTTTCTGATTTTAGGCATCTGAATTTATTACTTTTATTTTAATTCACTTATTTTTCGAAGGACCTTTAAATTGCAAAGATAATTTCCAAAAAAAAAATTTCCAATACCTTTGTTTAAATGCCTTGCGCTCTTCCAACCACTTCGCTGCTTTAGCTTCTAGCTCTGGAAAAATTTTAAATAACTATTACAATGAAAAATTCATTACCAAAGATTGTATGGGTCAGAAACTGGTTTTCCAAAGAAAAAATTTCGTTTAAAATGTACCAAAATATTTTGATTCCTTATCGGCCAATAAAGCTTGGTTTTCTTCGAAATTTTTTGTCAAAATTTGTAACTCAACTTCCTTTTCAGCAATGATTTTAGATAATTTTTCAATTTCGTGTTTCCTTCCTTCGCACAGATTCATTAGCTCTTTATTTTCATCAACTTTCTCATTCTACAACGAATCCAAAATAATAAAAATACACTGCAAATAATAAAACTGAATACAATATTAAATCTTTAAAAGAGTTACCAGAAGAGCTGTTGCTAATTTCAGTTTTTCTTCTTTATCTTTTTTCTCCTTAAATAAAGATTCTTTAAAAGACATTTCGATTTCAACTTTCAGCTTCAAAATGTTTAAGAAAAGAACAAAAACAAGTTAAAAGATAAAAAGCCAAACATCAGCTGAAATATCTTATGATAAGACATTAAGGAAAAGCATTGATTCACATTAAGATAAAAAGCCAAATGAGTTTTTTTAATCGGAAATTTCTGTTTTTCGTTGGATAAAGTCAAAAAATTTTCCTCGTATTAATGAATACGGTTCAAGTAATAACCATTAATAAAGGCTCAAAAACTCGCATTACCCCATAAATCAAATTAAATAGAGCCAATATTATGCTTATGCAAACAGGTTAATAAAGATATTTTTCAAGAGGAATATAGAAACTTACCATTTGGGAAGAATAGTTCAGATCTTCTATTTGTTTTTCAAAATTGTTCTTCTCCTGTTTCCACATACCTTCTTTTTCAGCATAACACGAAGTTAACTTTAAACCACAATTTCAATTTAATGTTTGAAAAACAAAAAATCTAGGTGATCGAAAATTAATTTTAACTGAATAAGGTTTCTTTTCCGTAGTGATCAAATATTTGACGAAAAAGCAAATGAACTAACTTTATCCACCTCCATCTTTTTTGAATTTATTTCTTTTTCAAATCTATTTTTGGCTTGCTCAGCACTATTTAAGAGATCAGTTTTTTCGTTTAGTTCATTTTTAATGCATTCCTACAAATAAACTGTCAAAGAATATAAAATTAAAACGAATATTTCAAAATAGTCATGTTCTGGGCTTATTATTTAGAACAATTTAAAACAAAAAAGAAAACAGAAAAACCTTAATGTGAAAACGAAAACCAAATTAAATTACTTAAAGTGCCTAAATTGTTTGATAAAAAATTTTGTATTTATATTTAAATTTAAAAAATCGAATAAAAATCGAAAACATAAAAAAATGCCCATATAACTAAAATTTACAATGCGCTGAAGTAATTCATTTTGCTTTATTTCGCTAAGTTCCAATTTTCTTTCCACTTCTGACAACATCGACAACTTTTCATTGATAATCTAAGTTTTAACTTCATCTTAATCTTCAACTTAATCTTCAAAAAAATCAAATGTTATGAAATTGAAAAGGCCAAATAAACCGGTATTTCACAGATATTAAAAAATTTCATTTTTCCTTATAACGCGAAAATATTTAGTGAATTTCTAGTATTTAATTGCCGCAATCATTTTCCTTTCCAAATGAGATTTGAAGTAAAGATCCGGTAATGTTTTCAAAACTTGATAATAATGATAATGATTTCAGATCAATGATTAACAATAAAAACCTGGTTTAAAAAAAGGGTACTTTGTTTACTAAAAAAATCAAATACTATGAAAAGAGTGCAAGAACAAAAATCACCTTACTATACGATTCGATCTCTTGTGTTGCACTGCTAAGCTGTTCTTCAAGTTCGGCTATTTTTTCAGTTAAATCAGCAATCCTTTTCCTATTTTCATTATTCTCATTTTCCCTTGCCGCTGAACATTTGTGCAGCCTTTGTTCTACTTCCTAAATCCTGCATTTAAACACAATTTTCATTGTAAAACTAAAACTGCAATTATTTTTGCAAATAAAGAAACTTCTCTTGCCACTCTTTCCTTTTCTTTTTCGCAAACTGCCATTTCAACATTTCTTTCCAAGGTTCTCGACCGTTCTCCCTTAAAAAGAAAAGCAGCTAAAAAAAGCAGAAAATTTGGTTTTTTAATATTCAAATATTAATCTCAAAAGATATAATAAAACGATACCAGAGTAGAGAGTTGAGAAAAGAAAGAGTGAACTTGTTCGTGCAATTCATTTTTTTCTTTTTTGCTTAGATTCATTTCAGCTTCCAAAGAAATAATTTTAGACATTAAATTTTCAATGTTTATCTAAAAAAACAAAAAATTAGGAAAGTTTTACATAAAAAATCGACTTTATTTAAAAAGTTTTATTTAAAAAATTTGTCAAAATAATTTAATTTCTGAGCTAAAGAATTTCTATTAAATGATTTGCCACCTATCCCTGCTAATTCCTTCAACAGCAAAAGCTAAAAAACTGCAATAGCTGGCTAAATTAAAAATTAATTACTAGTTAATTATAATAAGTGCGAAATAAATTTAAAATGAAAAAATACAAAAAAAATGTAATAAAAGTATTGATTGACTGACTGCTCCTAAGACTAACTTCATGCTCCGAATTGATTTCCTTCATTTTCTTTGCCTCATCCAGTAGCTGCGCAATTTCCTTCGCTTTTTCATCTATATTAAAAATTAAGAAGATCACTGTACGGTTCAAAGTTATCAATCAGATAAATAAAAAAGAATAATGAGAAGAATGATATATTTTTGCAAAAATAGAAAAATATTTCCTAAATCCCAGAAAATTTTCACTGGATTTTCTCATATAAATGTAAATTCATAAAGTCATAAATGTAAATTTTCTGCAGCTAAAAAAGTGTAAATTTATGATGCGTAAAAACATACCGATTAGATTTCGTAGTTCAATTTCTGTTTTTTCTGATTCCATTTTTCCAACTTTATTTTCAGCGATCTCGTCTTGAAGAAAATTTATTTTTTCTTCCATCTGGAAGAAAGTGGAGGGTAATTTCAAAGAAAAGGGGTCAATGATAAACGTGAAATGCATGTATTCATATGAGTGTATTCATATGAGTGCATTCATATGAAAATTAAAAAATCGGATTTATAAAAAAATTAAAAATAAAAGTTGAACGATACAGGTAGTTTTAACTAGCAGCAAGTTCATACATTTTTGACATTTTTTCCCAAAGCAGCAAGAAGGACATTTTTCTCATCAAGCGATTGTAGAAGTAACACTTTTTCATCATTTGCCACTTCATTAATCCAACGAGATTCATTCAACTGATCATCCTAAACATCCCATACTAATGAATTAATAGGTTAAAAAAAATTAAAAAAATGAAATGAAACAAACTGTGAAAAAGAAACCAAAAATTTAGCCTTTTCTTCTACCGCTCGTAATTTCTGAACGACTTCTTGTATTTCAGTACGCTCCTTAATGATAACATTTTCTTTCTCTTCAATGCAGCAATCTTTTTCATCGATAATTTTCTGCAGCTAAATTGTTTGGAAATTTGATATAAAATATAAATACATGAAAACGATGAGAAAAATGACATTAAAGATTATAAAACAGATAAAATTGTATATCAACTTATTAAAGTAGACTCTGATAGAAAATAAACGGTATTAAATCATTTCATGTATTTCAAAATATAAAGCACCTCTCTTCTACCTAAAAAAATTTTTCAAAATTTTTAAAACCTTAAAACAATATAAAAAATATAAAATTTCACTGAACTAGACTTTGTGTGGGACCTAAAAAAAAACAAATATGATCACGTTAAACAAAATTCTGAAAATGCATCAAAATGTAATCTAAAATATGAAAGGCGATATTTCATCAAAATAAGTAAAAAATTATTGAATCTATAAATTCTAAAATTTGCTCTGAAATTTGAAGCTAAACAAACAATTTTAAAAAACCAGTTAATTTTTTCGATTTTTAAAAGTACTCATAAAGCGAAGCTGATAACAGAACAAAGCTAGAAAAATTTTCAAAAGTATCAGAATTTAACTAACAAGAGAATAATTATTTCTCAAATTTTCCAAACTAAATTCTTTTTCTTTGATAATGTCGGATAAATGCTTAGTAACTTCATTCTTTTCCATTTCACGAAATTGCTCAGAGTAAAATTTTTTTGCTTTTCACATATCTAACCGTCGAAAATAACACGATAAAAAGATAAAATACGGAATAAAACAAATTTACAGGGGGATGGGATCAAATTGAGTCATATCTTACCTTCCACTTTACGTCGTCTTCTGCCACTGCATATTTGTGGCGAGCTTTATTCGAAGTTTCTCCCACAGTTCTTAATTTTTCTTTTTCCAAAGCTAATTTTTCTGAAAACTGTTCTTTATTTGCAAGTTCTTCATTATCCTCTTTTAATTGTTTGTTTAAAATATTCATTTCTTTAATGTAATCCTTAAGTTTAGTGTTTTCTTCTTGCATTCGTTTCATTGCCAAATTTACGTCATCTTCCTCAGCAATCTGAAAAGCATAGTTTTTACATGAAGCGAGATTTTGCACTTTAAATTAACACATTCGTTATAATATTTAATATGATCCAGCAAACAAATGAATTTGGATAAAAGAACTTTTTGCACAAGTTTCATTGAATGTTCTGCCAACTTCAGTTCCTCGACTATTTGAACTTCATTTGATAAATATTCAATTTTTCCTTCTTGTATATCAATTTTTTTCATCAAGGTCTCGATCTGCTGCTGCATCTCAATGATAATGACATCTTTTCTATCATTTACCAGCTTCTTAAATTGATGCGAACTTTTAATTTTTTACATTGACTCAATTAACTTGAGCAAACAAATGTATGATGGTCAATAAAAATTTAAGCCCAACAATGAACAAAAAATGAGATATTAAATAATAATTAAATAATAAAAAATAAAGGGAAAAGTGCGAAAAAAATGAATCAGAAAGCAAATATTTCGCAGAAATTTTATAAAGAATGATTTTTTAAAAAAAGACATCGCATTTATATTCTTGTGAAGTGTGTATTTTGAAAGCGTGAAATAAAAACTTCCACTCACCAGCTCAGCAGACAATTTTTTTTCGTTTTCTAACAGATCTTTTAGATTGCCCACTTCTTCAATTAAGTCATCTTTTACAGAAATCTAAAAAATTTTTATTAAAGATGGATCGAATAATTCATATAAAGAAAAAACTTATTAATGCTATATTCAAACTATTCCGATCAATTTCTTTGAAAAAAAAAGAACAAAAGATCTATCTCAAAACCATATGAATCACAAAACGCACATCCGATTATCGCTAAAAAAGTTTGCAAAAATAACTAATTGCAGTTTGCTGACATTATCCAGCGCTTGAGAATGTTCATGCATTTCTCGCTCATGAACTTCTTCTAAGCGTTTGATGTCTTCTTTGTATAGTATTTTTTCCGCATCCATCTGAAAAATCAGAAAAATAATTTATTGAAATTCAACAAATTCAAATCATCGAATCTATGATACAAACTTTTAAAAACTTACCATTCCTAAAGATTGGGGAAAAACAAGAAATGGCAACGATTTAACAATTTAATAAACTTAAAAAAACAGCATAAAAATCTAATCATTCTTAAATAAATGAAAAACCTGATCAAATCTTATATTCAATTCAGTTAATTTTGTATTATTGCTCTCATTTAATGCGTTTGAGTGGATCATTTCACGACGACTTTCTTCTAATAGATTCTCCATCTGTGAAATTTTGGCTAATGCTTCATTAAGCTTTTTGGTAAGAATTTTGGTTTTTTCCTATAATTTAAGGTTATAAAAGAAATATGTAAAAAAAACATATGCAAACATGTAAAGGAACTTAAACTGATGGTTAAATTTTATCCACTGTTTTAAAAAATATTAATGTACCTGATATTCTTCAACGCATCGAGTAGTATTCTTCGACTCGCTCATGATTTCATCTACAACTGAGCATTTTTGTTCTAATCTATAATAAACAGAAATAATCAGGCAGAAGCAGAAATAAATTTTTGATACAGACTTTTGACATCTTGACACGAATGAAATTTTCATGACAAATTTCCAATGAACGATCAAACAGAAACTGAATATACTGCTGATTATCTTTGTTGAGATGGCATATTGTAGCCAAATGTTCTGCTATTTCCTCTTCCTTCTCAAGAGTCATCTTATTCATTAATTGTTGTGCATGCACAAGTTCTTGTCGAAGTACTCTCACATCATCTTCAGATGGTCTTAAACTCAATTTTGAATGATAAAAATTGAGCAGTAAATTTAGATAATTCACATCTATTTGATGAAAATAATTTCAAAAATTTCGTCGAAGCAAACGGATATGGACATTTACAAGGCACTTTTAGGAATAAACGAGCGAGAAATTTTGCAGAAATTTTCTGAGGTCAGGAGCGATATGATTTATATTTGAATTTTGATCAACCAAAAAATAATAATAGATCTTACCTCTGGTCCAACTGGGCTACAAGGTTCTGTATTTGCTCTTCTAAATTACTAATCTCTTTTCTATAACGCACCAATTCGTCACCAAGCAAAGTTTTCTCTGCTTGTTTATCTTCAATTTCCTCAGTCAATTTAGTAACTTTGGCTGATACTTCACCCAATTTCGTCACTATTCCATCTTTCTCAACTCTTGAACTTTCAATAAGACGTGTTGCAGCATTTAATTCTTTTTCTGTTTCAAGCAACCGCTGCGTAACTAAAAACTAAAAGCTAAAAACCTCATCAGAATAAAACTGATGTAAATGCTAGATTTTGCATTTTTCGTGATCTCATGCAAAGCATAAGAAATCAATAAGATAACCGTAATGGAAATAATAAATATAAACGTATTTCTAAAACACTAAGGAAAATGTGTTACCCAATGCTTTTCCAGCTTCCAGCATCTGCACTTGTTGCAATAAATAAGGCATTTCTCCCTAAAATAAACCATACGAAATAAATTTCTACACAAAAATGCTCCACTAATCCAAAGAATTTTATGTAATAAATTGCTGGTAGAACTCGTAAAAAATCTTTACCTCAGCAACTTTATTTTGTTTAGCGATTATGGCACTAAGTCTATCAAGTTCTTTTTTTAATTCAGAAGAATAGTGCTTCTCATCTAGTAGTGATGACCTCAATTCTTTCAGTTCGAGTTCCATGATGAAAGGTTCGTTAATGAAGCCATTTTCTGAATAATTTCAAAATGATAATCAATCGAAAATTTTACGGAAATAAACAAATTTACAAAAAAATTTGACTCCTTAAAGAGTACAATCTCTTAAATTCAAATAAAAAAATTGAGAACCTGTTGAAAATGGCTCAGTCGTGACTGAATTAACAGCATCACTCTGCAACCAAAGAAATGTGAAGACTTATGAAAATCTTGCAATTTTACAAGAAAAGAAAAGTAAACCCTTTTAAATCAAATTTGTTTTATACTTTAATATGCTTCTGTAAATATTTCTATTGTCTGAAGAGTTTATGAGCATAATAATTTAATCATATATACTAAACAGAACTTCTTCTTCTTCTTAAGAGTCCTCACTATTACTGGTTAAACTCGCTCTACTGGCTTATCGCATTGAGCAATATGCCAGGGAGTCCCTTGGCGATAGAAGTACAGGTGAGTCACCAGCATCACCCGGATTTTTGTACAGGTTTGCTCCTGCGGGGAATCGAACAGCTTCGGCTGCTCCAAATTGAGAAACAACCCACTGAGCCAACCTATCCCCACTAAACAGAACTAAATGATTATTATTTGACAGCGCAGTAAAATAAACGATCTGTTGTTTAACATTAAAATACTGATAATATCGTATTATATTGTAAAATACAAATAAAGTTGAAAAATCAAAAAAAAATACTGGCTTATAAGAATAAATGAACCTGAGAAACCAAATGACCATTAAAATGAAGTTTTAATTCCTCTGGAGATGAAAATATTTGCATACACAATGGACAAAGGAAACCTTCGGACGCATTGTCGTTCATCAGTCTTTCATTTGTCTATAAAAAAAACAGATTTCAGCAAGGTTAATTTCATTAAAAAATTAAAAAATCTCTCTGAAAATAATTGAGACTAATTTTTAAGGATTTTTATGGAAATTTATTAATATTAGCGCTCATAAGTAATTTGATGAGTTTAACTAAGTATAGTGAAAAATTAGTATTGTATTTATTCACTTCACCTAGATCAGATATGATAGCTCTCAAATGTTATTTCCATTTTCTCAAATTATTCTACTTTATACTATTTTCACCATAACTTTGCTTTTTTCATTGAAGGAAAAGTGGGAAACAAAGAAAAGAAGTATTGGAAACAAGTGCAAAGGTCATTCCAACTAAAACTATTTTGTTACTATTCTTCAAAAATGGAGAGAAGACGAAGGGGCTGCACGTCCGAAGAAAATAAAAATGAGACCACGCCTTTAAATTACGAAATCTCGCCCTACCTAGATAAAACCCTTTTATATAACCGAAAACCAGGTTTATGCCATGTTTTCAAAAAACCTTCCCATTTAAAAACCAGCCTAAAACTACTAAAACTTCGTTATGTTCTCTTGACATAAATTAGAAACGTCATGTTTGATCGCTTTAACTCCCTTAAACTCAACCTCTAACCACTTAATACCAATCCTCCCATGTTTCCTCAAACTTCGCGATACAATCGCAGCTAAAAATCGGAAACGGCAATATGACAGTGGCTGATGTTATTAACGAAGCACAAAAGAGACTAAGAAAGAAAAAGAACCAAGATATTAAGTAGGTATTAACGGGTTTTTTTCTCAAACAGCGCTCACCATTGCCGGTTAGGCTCATTCTGCTGATTATTGAACCAGACAAGAAAAACATAATTAGCACCAGCTGAACGAGTATCTGAAGAGGGTGAAAACATTGTAGGAGGATTCGAACAAGTATTAAAGGATATCGAAGGGATATCACAAGTTTTGCGAATGGTCTATTCCATCCATCCGTCTTCCGACTCCGTCCTCCGTCTCCCAACTTTTTTGCTATAATTTAGAAAATAGAAGATAACTTACTTCGTTCGAACTGACTGCATTCACTGCAATCGAGACTTGCTGTTTCAATTTTCGTAACATCGCCATTGTAAAAACTAAAAAATTATAGATAAAAAATCAAAATTATGAGCAGCACCATCAAAAATATATTTGCACTATTAAAGCTTTAAACAGGTTTTAACCTCGCTAGCCGATTTACACATGAGGCGAACGATAGATTTATTCAAGTAATCTTTTTGTCACTTTGTGGTTGAAGCCATATTTTTCACTGGACTATACAAAGACATTCATTCAGTCTACGTTTTAACCATCATCGTATTTTGATTAGATTGTCAGTCTTTCTTCTTCATCGAGGCTTATGACTTCCTCATTTCTCGCAACTACATGTCTTATGTCAATTGTTGTGACAATGGAGCTCTACAATTTTTGGTAACAAATATATAAATTATAAACAAGCACATCATACATATGGTCCCACAGTAATTTCTTACTGAAATAATCACACTTGTCAGTGAAATATTTGACAAACTGCACCTCATAGATTGTTGTATTCTACTTATTATTCAACTAACAATGTAAAATTGTGAAAAAAAATTTTTTTGACGAAAATTTTTCTTCCAAAACTAACCAAATTGAGTTGGAATTAGAAAAAAAATGCAAGAAGACAATTCATTCTTTCCAGAAAACTTTATAAAATCCTCCCTCTCAAAAGAATCCGACAATCTTTTCAACCAATCTTTCTGCGTTAAAACATCAAATTAACATAAAAAAATAAAAAAATTGGTAAGCGTCGAAAAAATCGGATCGAGACGTAGGATTTTATTAATGCAGCTCGATATTTTTTCGAATATTTGAGTATAGTGTGTCCACATTCATAGTGTGTCCACATTCATCATTTGAATTGAATGCCACTGGATGAAACATTTAATTGGTTCAGCAATCTAGTTCATTAGCAATTTTTAAATTCTCCTGTTGCATTTGACTAGAATATGACAAATGTTACATATAGGCTTATGGACTCCTCATTTGGCGTTCGTTAATTGGCTGAGAAGTTATAGATAAGACTTGGAAGAGAACTTCGAACGTCCTTTAACCAACTTCTCAGAGTCGAAAAGTGGTATTTTCAAGATTTTCCACAAAACATATAAAGGATGAGGCAGAAGCAAACTTACTGTTAAAAAACCCGAGTGGTGGTGCTGGCGAGCTGCTTGTATTTCCACCATCTGCATCAGTAGTGATCAATCTCGCATAACTTAAATTTTTGTCCATGAAAATTACGAAGGCTACATCATACAGAATTCCTTAGTAATAACGAGCTTGTTATTCAACAGAATTGTATTCATTTTCTTACAACTTACTCCATTTTCGACTGCCCTCAGAACCAACGACTTAATAGATATCGTAAGGGATAAAGGGATATCGATGACTTGGTCAAATGCTATTTGTATGAGCTCTGCGATTGCCGATATGACTATCATGACATCATATTGAATTTTCATCCTCTTCCTCAAACACCACACACAATTATTAGTTTGGCTCAATTTTTAGAGTGAGAATCGCTTGAAAAATAAAGAGCCGCCTGAAAATAGAAGTGAATTGAAATCCTAGTTGAAATCACCATAGAAATTTCACGTTTAACTGTGGGTTTACTCTTGTCAAGGGAATGTAATCGAACCCACGGCGTTTATAATCTCAGCAATATAGTTTGTGAACAAATATTATTTTTATTCAAACCAACACAATATATTTTCCAATAAAAAAACAAAGTACACAAAAAAAGAACTCAGTTAACTTAACGAATTTCTTAAATTATAACATAAATGGTTTTAAAATTATAAAATACCATCTCAACTAATTAAACTCTTTTTCGCAATATTCTCAATTCCCTATAACCTAGGATCTGACCTGACTTTTGATTGCACCATATCCCTTATTCGCAACATTAATTTTTTCAATAAAATATGTTAATGTTAAATATGTTAAAATGTTAGATAAATATTAAAAAAAAATTGTTCATGAAAGAATTTTAAAAAATTACATACTGAAAATCCCTTTACTAAATTACGATAGGATGCAACGTTGATTTCGCCAAACTTGTTTATTTCGACTTCACTCTGAAGATGAATCAAACTACTGCTCTATTAATCGTGGATCTACTGTACGAAAAAACTTATATTTAATTACAAACCTGGGCAAACTAATACCTCAATACAGTTGCTATAAAATCTATCAAACTTCAACTCATGCTGTGCTTCAACCTGCCCAATAAATTATGGCATCTTTTAAATTATGGTACTTCACACCTAAGAAAAAAGGTCTAAAACTGAAAATCGAGTATGAATAAATTAAATAAAATATATAACTGAGAATAAAATGAAATCGGATAATTTCTTTGGCCATGCGCCACAACTTTATAAATTACATTTTTAAAGGCTTTACTATTATTAAGTATGACTTACTTAAAAATTATGGAGCAACGAGCTATGAACTGTATGTGGTCCATTCAAAGAGGCAATAACTATTTTTTACTACACATTTCTTAGAATTGTAATTCACACACTACGACCAATTCATAACCAGTTTTACTGAAAAAAAAAGTTCGAGCGAATGCTTTATTTAATAATATACGGATGTTCCTTTGCTGCGTAAATTACCTTTCATCGAATTATGTTGCATGGTCGATTAAGCCAAAAGCTCAAAAGCCTTAGTGCAAAAAAGTATTTCGATCAAGGTTGTTAATCTCTACAGTTATGCAAACCACGTATATAAATAACAATTACTATAGTAGAAAAATAAAAATACCAAGCAAGTTCAAAAATATCTTGTTGTATTATAGACAAGTTCCATAAATGTTCCTAAATGGTTTGAGCGAAAACTTTGAATAAATATTAAATATCCTTTTATAGAAGAGAGAAGAGATTCCCAGAATCGGATTCTGACTTTAGTATTATAATTAATTTTAGCTGTTAAATAAAAAAAGATTGAAATTACTCACAAATCTAATAAAAATTCGAACTAAAATTCAAAACGATGACAACAATTCTTTTTACTTCCGCTCGTTCCATTTTGAATGATCATATAAATATAGTATTAAAAAGAAGAAATCACCGCATTTTAAAGTCTACAATAAGCGCACAATATACATATCATTTTATTGAGCAGAATCAGATGATGATGCGATTGTTGAAAGCTGAAGTAAAAACTGTTCATTTCTCGGTGATCGTGAATGTAAAGGTGATATTACTGAAAGAGTTTGCGGATGATGTATTACTGGTGTCGAAGTGGAAATAATACTCGAAGAAGCAGGAAGTATTGTTGGTGAAAGTACTAAAACTCGAAGTCGATCTGTTTCTGCTCTCAAATGTTCCAGTTCGAGCCGAAGGCGGATATTTTCTTGTTCTAGTACAGCTGCTCGGACAGCCATTTCATCTTCCTAAAATATATGTGAATAAGAGAATGAAATTTAACATAATCGAAATCACATCCTAATGTTTCAGTACTACTACTAGCAAGGATTCGATTTGGTGGCTGGAGTTTGCACCATTTTTTTGTTTAACTATATGAGAGGAATATCGCTTTTTAATACAGCTTGTATGAATTAATATATAACCTGTCGGGCAAAAAAATTTTCTAATTGTATATGAAGCAGATTTATTTGTATATTTATTTATCATTTTCATACTTTGATTTCTCGAACGGCGATATGTAGGCTTAAATGCTGAAAGAATGAGTGGTTTCACTTAACTGTTATGACCTGGATCGAGAGGCTTGGAGAGGTTTAACCTAGTGGCCAATGAAGGCTTAACCAGTGATGTTGCAAACCAAAAGAAGATTTCTCGACGAAATCGAAAATTTTTTGATCGAAATTATGTCAAAAAATTTAAAGCAAGCTTAAGGATATCTCATCAAAACATTTTATTTCATTCTTAAATGGTTTCATTCTTCTTCTAATGGCACTCTTCCAACTTCTTCACTGGCTACTGCAATGAGATCCTTACGTTAAAAAATCACTTGGATGATAAAAGTGCAGCCTGCATCTGGAACCACCTAGATTCCATTTCATTTTAAATAAATTTACTCTTATCAAAAGATAGAAATTGGAATTGAATATTATGGTTTGACGTTAGCTGAAAGTATAAAATTCAACTAATTTTACATATGTTTTGTCAGTTATAGGTAATTGAATCTATTGTTTGCATCTGTTTAATACTATGCTTAATCTATTGTTTAATACTATTAATATGAAGGTTCAACTTTTTGACGCCGCGAATCTCGGCTTCTCTTTGCAGCATCATTGTTTTTTCTTCTTCGTTCCCAATAGGCATCATCTTTTACCAGTTCCTTTTTCTTGCGTGCATTATCGTTTCGTACAATGACATTGCGCTGAACGCTTTGTATGTCAGCATCAGAAGTAGAAGATGTAACCTAGAAACGTTAAAACATTATTAAAGTCATTAATTTAGACTTAATTAACCCAGTTGATAATTGATAGATTCTAATGTCTGATATTTTAATCATATAAAAGTATATACAATATAGGCTGACAAAATGATTCTATACAATTTTCTATACAAACAAAATGATTCTAAAATTGAGCATAACGCTGGACATCAAATGGAAGATAGTTTCTAAAATAGAATTCTGTGTGTTAAGGATCTCATTCTCCTGACTTTTTCGTCATCGAGTTGCTTCGATTTTTTCTAGAGTTATATAATATGAAACATCATAACAAGATTAGTGTAACACGCAGCCATAACTATAACCATATAAAGATATAAATTTAAATTAAGAATCAGAGGTTACGATATAATAACATAGATACAAATAAATTTATGGAATTAGGAATATTTATGTCATATTTATTTTTTTGGAAAGGTTTTATCTCCAAATGTTTTTTATTTGGCAAGGGAAACCAACGTATCCATCACTATTTTTCTATAGCACCAAATTAGTGGCAAGATGATCGAATGGAAGTTGTTTTGGTTCAAATCAGGCATCACAAATTCGATTTCTGTCGGAAGAGAAGCAAAATTGGCAAGTAACATAAAATTCATGTGGGTGGAATGACCATTCTCATTTTAATCGTCAAGCAACCTTTGAAAATATTTAGAACGTTATTTCCAAAAAACTAAGTATAACATAAATAATTCTAATTTCATAAATTTATTTGTCTCTAAGTTATAATATCTTGACCTCTGATTCTTAACTTAGATTTGTATGTTTACCGTTATAGTTGCATTTTACAGTAACCTTGTTATGCTATTTCATATTATATCTCCAGAAAAAATTAAATCATTTCCGTGATCGCAAAGTCAGGAGAGTGAGAGTCATCACGATTCGGCTATATTATTCATCCAACCAATTAATATTACATTATACTGCTATGTTAGTTACATAATTTTTATATTGCATCATCTTATTTACGGCTATTGTTTCGAATATTTTTCCAGATCCAGTGCAATCGCTCGGCAACTCACTAAGATAACATTAAGTTTTGCGTTATTGCATTTAGTTGGAATAAAATTATTCTAAGATTTCAGTAATTCGCATTATCTTCGTAAATAAATTTTTTTTTATTTTAATCATTTTGCTTAAATAATTATATTATATATAATATACATATTTTTCATTTTAATTACTGGAAATGTAATTATGCTTTTCAATTTGATAAATATTCATTGCATTTTTTTAAATGTAAATTTTGATTATAAAATTATATTAAAATTAAATCCATTTGTAATAGATTTTATAACCTATATTTTCATTGCGCCAGTAATTTAATGGCAAGATGATTATCATCGACTATTGAGAATGGCTCAAGGGGTTGTGTCTGAATTTAAAGCACCGATGGTGTTGTTCTATCTCTACGCCAAGCAGGCCGAGTGACGGTGGTGGCTCATCTGTGCTTCTATTGGCAAATGATTCCCTAACAAAATTTACCAGGTCCGACAAGCCAGCAGAATAAGCCTAATCAGCAAAGATGAGTGCTATCAGGAGAAAAAAAACTAAGCCCTTTGCAGAACTAATTTCTGAACTAAATCAGAATTTTTTATCCAAATAAGTTACCGAGTGGTTGTACTCGAAATCGAAGAGAATATTTTATTTGAAAACAGTAGTCGTAAATAAGATGACTTACAACATAAAAAATATTGCACCATTAGCAATACAATGTAATAATAATCGGACGGATGATAAAGTATAAATATAAAATATAAATATAGTATAAGTATAAAGTATAAGTATCAGGGTTGTGATAGTTCACAAGATCTCAATCTCACTCCTCTGACTTTTTGAGAACCGACTTATTTTGATCATTTCTATTACGAAATGATATAATAAGATTGCTGTAACATGCAAATCACTATATTTAGACTCAACTCTAAATAAAGGATCAACATTAAGGTATTACAGCGTCTTAGACACAAATCAGTTTAAATTTTAAGTTTATCACATATTCTTACAGTCAATCATTAGAATAAATTGTAATCTGTCTACAATTTATAGCTAATTAAAATAAGATTAATTGAAATCATATAGAATAAATATTGCAATTCTCCAATCTACTTATGATATTTTTATTTAGCTTTCTTATTTATTTTAAAATACCAGATAGTGGCCAGTGAATCGATCTGAAAAAACCCGTCAAAATAAAATAAATGGGTAATCGATGTTCTCTTAAGTTGTGTTTATACAATATTTTTACGCTGTTTTTTTTTTCTTTCTAAAATTAGCACATTGCTTTTTTCTCTGCCTTCTTCAATACTGAATCAAAAAGGAATCAAAGAATACCTGAGTAGTAGGTGATTGTTCTGGCTTATGTGATGATGACTCTGCTGGAATAGATAGCGCCGTTACTGGATCTGATGGATCATAGATTTGAAATGGTCGTAAATTACTGTTTTTCTCATTTTTTGCATCATCTTGCAGTAAATTTAATATATTTGAAGGCATGAAAGGATTAATGAGCGGGCTAATAAGGGAGGCATGTGCTGCATGGGGCATTTGATATGTCGAAAAATCATATGGCAGAAATCCCTGAAATAAACAGATTTTTCATAGCTCTACTAATTCTTATGTATTATAATCTATCAAGTTGATAATTTTTTAACTTTTTTAAGCGAAATTCTATCCACCTATATCGTACAAAATATAAAATATTTTGATGTATCACTTAATAAAATTCATGAATTTTTTATTTCAGTCATTCATGAATCCTTAAGAGAAGATATATTTAATAAACTACTACAGTCTAAGTATAAATTGTAAGTAGAATAAACTCTCTTACCTATAGTAAAGAAAATAATAGAGGAAAAACGGATGATGCTGACGACTCACCTGTAGTTCTAACTCAAAGGAATTCCCTGGTATAGTTGTCTAGCCTGAAAAGTCAGAGAAACGAGTCTAACCAACGATGGTGAAAGAAGAAAAAACAGGGGAAAAAAATGGAATTGGAGTGTTATGAAAATAAAATTATCATACAACGAAAAGTAACGTGAAAAAAAATGAAATATGAAATATGGCAAAAATGCTTGTCTTCCTTTGGAAATAGACCCGTAATCAAGATGAAATCATTGAGCTTTTGAGATTTTAAACGAAAAAATTGCACTGAGGAAGAACTAATAAATAAGTTAAATAAATCTCAAAGAACCTATCCATTTTTATATCTTTTAACAGAAGAGAGTTCATCCTAATAACCAACATTGCCAACCCAACCAGATATAGCGAGCACTGTTAGAAAAAAAGGAGAAATCTTTTCAGTTCAGAGAACTGTTAAACTTTGTAATATTCCCTTACCCCTTACCATACTACAAAAATTCAGCGAGTCGGAACAGACAAAAATAACTCAACTATCAATAAAGAAAACCCATAATAAAAATATTGTAATGTTCAGTGTTGTCTTATAACATACTGAAGTATCTTTAAAAAAAAATTGAATACTTATGATTACAAATTATTACAATTTTACACTGAGCTTCTCAACAGAAATGTAAAAATTAATCGAACGGTTCAGTTTAATGAGCAAAAAATAAAAAAAAAATCATCGAATTCCACAGTTGTGCTTGAAAATGAATGCAATATTACCCAAGAAAAAAGCCACGTAACCACTGGAATATTAAAATCTTATCAGCAGTGATTTAGCTAAGAAAAAAATCCGACAAAACCGTCTATATACCAAATGAAATTTCTTGGCATTTGGAAATCACTTTACGTCTATCCGAAACTGACTCTAGAAGAGAAAAATCTCACCCGAACAGTTTGTTATTATAAAAAGTTAACCAACTCTTCCCATGTTCTTCATTAAACTAGAGCTTGCAACTAGATTTACTCATAATTTATTTGCCTCAAGAACAAAAAAAAAAATAACTTAAAAGAAAGTTTAAAGTTACCTTTGAGGGAAAATGTGGAAAAGATTGCGAGAGGGATGCCATGCGAAAATGATTACATTGAAATGAATTGGAAATGAAAGGGAAATTCTTACAAAAGAGGTCACCTACTTACCCAAATTTTCACTTTTATCTCACGCTCATTTAATTTGATAAATCCCTCGCAGCAATCGATCGATCCATTCCATCCATCCCATCCATCCATCCCATCCATCCATCCCATCCATTCATTCATCCATCCCACCCTATTCATTCATTCATTCATTCCTTCATTCATTCATTCATTCATTCCTTCATTCATTCATTCATTCATTCATTCATTCATTCATTCATTTCATTCATTCATTTCATTCATTCATTTCATTCATTCATTTCATTCATTTATTCATTTCATTCATTCATTCATTCATTCATTTCATTCATTCATTCATTTCATTCATTTATTCATTTCATTTCATTCATTCATTTATTCATTTCATTCATTCATTTCATTTCATTCATTCATTTCATTTCATTCATTCATTCATTTCATTTCATTTCATTCATTCATTCATTTATTCATTTCATTCATTTCATCCATTCATTTCATCTATTCATTTCACCCATTCATTTCATTCATCTATTTGTCCAAATTTTATTTTTTATTTGCAGATGATAAAATTTTCGGTGTTCCAGAATGAAATTGTTTCGTGCAAAACTTGCAAATTACATAAACGTTTCCATTCAACCATAAAGATGTTTTAAAAAAAAAAATTCGATAGTACACCTCCTACATTGATACGATATATGATTAAATCGTAATTATTGGTAATGAAATCGATTTAGATATAAAATAAGGGAAGGATCAATCGAAGAGCAGATCAATGAACGTAGTGAATCAGGTCAGTGGGTCAAACATACTTTCCCTTTCTTATTGTCCTATCAAAATTTTTGCACAATTAAAGCGCAACAATCCATTTAATCGGATGAATGTGTCGATATTTGGTTCCGCTTCTAGCATTACGTCGTAAAACCCTATATTCTCATCAAATAAGAATCTTTTTTTTTATCAATTTATTAACATATATAATTCTTGCATAAGAATCAATGAAGTAGTACAGCACACAAGGACCGAGCACAGGAATTTTCTTAACATATCGCCCAAAAACTTATATGCCATAAGAAATGTTTGTGGTATTTGATAGTATTTGCTTCGCAAACGAAAAGCTTTCATTCAGTTTTCGTTTTTTTTGTTATCCTTAAAATTCATATCCTCAAAAATTACTACATTATGGTGGAGAAAGTTCTCTCCTCCAATCAAACTAATTTGAGCCAAAAGATGTAAAAAAATTTTGCTGAGAAAAAGAAATTCTCAGCAATTCTGCCTGTTTTCCTTAAGAATTCTATCACCAATTTTAGAAGATAAAAGCACATCATCATCATCATCGATTAATCCCATTTAATCACATTTCGCACTAAATAAAAAGATACCAGAAAGTAAGTGCTTCAAATTGCTTCATTAAGCCCAGGTTGATAAATGCATTATAATAATTAATAAAACCCATACTATGACCGTATCAACTCCTTACTAATCAAAATAAATCGAAATAAATTGGGAAATTGAATTTTCTTGATTTTACAGATTCAGAACTAGGCATATTTAATAACACTCTTCGTTCAATCTAGTTCAACAGCATATAGCTTTGTCTGACAAGACCTCTTGAATAAATGAAAAAAGAACTTATACAGTAAATGAAAATTAACTTGTTCAATTTCGCACTCCACCTTGGGTATCTTTAATAACCTTTAGCAGTTTTGTCCATGAATATTTTTTAGGCAAAGAAGAAAGGATCTTATCTTCGGTCAACAAAGCTGAGGCATTCTCGGACCTTAAGAACAAGAAACTTTTTTAAGGATGATGATATCGTGATTGATCTTTAATTACTGATGTTGCGAATGCTTTTAATGATAACTGATCTTCTTAGTGGAGAAAGAGTCATCTATAAAGAATTAATAACCACAATTTTTACTTGGGCTTATTTTCTTAATGTAGTGAAGGAGTTGTAGAGTCGTTAACACAAGAGAGAAAACTTTATTACTTCAACGAGCTAAATTTAATAATCGAAGGGATTGGATTAAAAGAAAGATGAAAGGAACAATGAGAAGAATAAGTACCAAATGGCAACAACACGAGAAAGGACATTCTTTATACAACTATACTTGGTTGGTCATAAAACTATGCAAAAATACGCCAGGTGGCAGAAGATAAAGTATTTGATCAAAAGAACAAATGGGCCACATCTGCAGTATTTTATATATTGCAGAGGAAGTGTTTCAGGAGTTTCTCTACAGAGTATGATAGCTGTTATAATATAGCAATGGAATGAACAAATTGAATAGTTGGAAAGTAGTTTTTTCAACATTAAACACCTTAAACATATCTCGAAAGCAATCTCAGATAATCGGTCTGATTGTTTTAAGGATAGGTCTACCTCGAAAGCAACAGCCACTGAGACATTTTAGTTTTAGGTGTTCATAGGTACAGTATTTCAAGAATGGAGTGAAATAAATAACAAATAAGATTTGGCATGAATTAATTAGAGTCCACATCAAAAATTCTATTACGTTAGTTATCGTATGAAATGTTGATGAAAAAGATTGTATACAATCAAAATTCCGTCACTTTCTAATATATGAAACCAAAAACTATATAAGCCACATAAAAAATGCAATATTCTGCTGAATTCCCATAATTTTCCTTGCGAGTCCTACTGTATCGTTTTCTCACTCACACTCACCAAATTCCTATTATGATCTGTTAACTGCTTTTATTTCGACCACTCCTTAGCAGTCCACTTTCCGAAATGAATATGCTGCCGTTCAGTTCAGGAAACTTTTGGAACGTGAAGAGTTGTAATTAATCCTGAGGAACTTTTCAAACCTGCTGTGGCAGTAAGTTAGTGTAAAGTGTTTCAAGTGACTTATGAGAATATTTTTGAAAATAGCTTCCCGTTATAAATGTTTTTCATGCGGATTTTATTTTTAGATGAATAAAAGACTTGTTGTCGCCACAGTTAAAAATGTGTCTGCCGACTGGTGGTGGTTTGTTGAGCGTTAAATCGTAGAACCTCAAACTTGGGTAATTAAAAACCTAATTAAATGAAAATATTTATATGAGCAATGAAAGGCTCTCCCTTCTGAAAATCGTGCGAAAATCCCAATCTCGTCTTACAAGGCTCACGCCAACATTGATTTTCCTTGTGTGATACGACTTGTCGATTTCCATTGGTTATTTCTTCTTCTCTGATTGTTTAATTGGTGGCATTTGGCGACAAGGTGTGCCAGAATAGTATAGGGAGGTCTGACGAAGTGGACCTTTTGATGGAACTGGCAGACTTTTGAAAGTTATTGATGGGATATAGCAGCTTTGGAACTAAATGTTATGGTAGTAGAGCAGCATTTGAAGAACAGCAAAAAAATTAAAAGAATATTTTTAATAGGATAGGATAAAACGACTGTGTACTGTGAGGGATGAAGTAGTCCTAGGACTCTTTGCTAGGAGCGGATAACTGGATTTGGAAGACAGTGGATACCACTTAATAGAGGCTGGAAAAAATCTTGAAAATTTTGGTGAGTTTAAGGACATGCATACTATTCTACATACTATTTATCTCTTTCATACCTTTTTCTACACAAACATCCCCACTTATATGGATTGATAGTTGAATATAAATTGACGAAATATTCATTTTTAAGTGGGTTAATTCGAGAAATAGATTTTTTGGAAATTTTCTATTTTCATACGGAACTGAATTAATAATTGATAATAATGATAAGCATTTCAAATAGTTTTCAATAAGTTGTAAAATTCATAATATTTTTTTTGTATTGGTTCCAATATTTTTTTCCTAAACTGCCTAAAAATTTATCAACTTCATTGTTGCTTCTTAGGTTGATGAAGATACATTGGGTGGCTTCTGGGAATTAGCCAAAGAAGGCTTCGGAGCTGCTTTCGCAACTTTTATGGTCTCATGGATTGGTGTATATTCGGCCATACATTTTGACTGAGTTATGGTCGGTAATACTTCACTATTGTTCCGAAATTTGAAATTAAATTCTGATTTATATAATTCGGCGATGTTTTGTCTTCCGCTAGTTTCTACCATTGTTGATCAGTTGTTTGATATATATTGGAGATCAAATTCATTTTGTTTGTAAGCCATTTATTAATTTATTGTCACTGTTCTTTTTTTGCTAAATTTCGTTTTCTGCCTTATTTTAAGCAGCAATTTCTATCTTAGATATAATAATTTCGCAATGCTCGCGCAGTATTCACCCTCATAACAATAGCAGATAACTTGGTAATTATAACTGGATAATGAATAAAAGTAAGCGGACCACGAAAAACCTTTTCTTAGCAGATGATATAAATAACTGGGCTTTTTCATTGGTTTTATTATATATATATATATATATATATATATAAAATAAAGAAGAAAGAAATGCAGAAATCAAAAGTCTAGTAAGTTTCAATCGCAAAAGTTACTTGTGTTAATGGAAAAAGATTAATTAGTACCACTCACTGAAAAAATTGAGCATATCTAATTTTCTTTTTTCGACTAAGTTTTATCGTATGCTCTAAGGAAGCATAACCTTGAGTCTCAACCTTGCTTCGCAGTTTGAGACGACGTTGTCTATAATAATTAGGTAAGTTTAAGATAATAAGTTTTCACGGAGTTTATCTATGTTTTTCAAGATATTCCATTAGCGAACCTTGAGAGCTGTGTTGGACAGTAATTATCCAATCATCCAAGGTTCAAGGTTACCGAACTGTTCTTAAGTATCAAAGAATGAAAGAAATATTCTTGTGCCTATTTTTCTTTTATACACATTTTTTCATCTCTTCAGTCTTTCTTCACAGCTCAATCATCTTGGATGCAGTAGCATATTCTATTTCAATCATCCATCACTAGTAGATGGGATTTCGCAAGAATATCACCTAAGTGGCACTTATACCTACTGTCACTGTTACCGGTCATAATTTTCACATTGTGCACCAAAATAAATCATCTGGTCGAACATATGTGGTAATCCACGTTGAGAAATAAATGCCATAAAGATTACTGGGAAATGGTAGTGCATATATATTTTTATAAATTAGTGATGCACAGCCACCATTGGCGTTTTAATCTCCGTGGCTCCCTACGAATTTTTTTTTTGGAAAAAGGGCTTAGCTTCTATATAAATTTTTAATTGTTTTTCAATCTTTTTTAAATTTTTTAAGTTCTAATTTTTTTAGTTTTAAATTATTTTAGAAATTTGCATTGCTCCTTAACTTGTTTCATAAAGAAAAAATATTCAGACAATATCTAAGCAACGAAAAAATTGAAACCATAGTGCATTTGAAAGTGACATTATATCGCTCGAAAAACGCTTTACATTAGTGTTTCTAGAAGATAAATACTTTATTTTATATTTTACAGAAGGTAATGAATAGATTATTGGCTTTTTTATTGGCAATTTTGTACTTTCTAAATTCTTTTTTTGTACTTTTTGTATTTTTTTGTCATTCAGATTTTTGTCATTTCTATGGCAAAGTGACGCGGCCACAAAAAAATGTCTCGTATAATAAAAGGCAATCATCACTGTCGAGATTATTATTACGGAGTAAAAGTATTCCTAATATGAGTTCCTTACGGCATTTAAACTTCATTATTTTATCGCGAATTCTTTAATTTTTAATTGTTGGATCAATTTGACTTAAGCAGAATGTTACAATTTTAAAAATTTTTCTTGATTTACGCTTCGATCTTTCACACTCCATTAACTCTTCCATTGACCGTGTTGCTTTACCGTAATTTCTTCTATAATATGTTGAATTTTACTTGAAGCTCCAGTTCAATAACTTATTATTAAATTGTTGGTACATCGTGAAATTTTTCGTCATCCACTTGCCGATAGAAACATAGGTAGGTCTCCACTCAGATTTTTCATGATAGGTTTAATCCAGTTTTAAGAGACAAGGTCTACATTTGAGCTTGAGATGCTAATTTGAAAAATAGCCGTTCGGCTTCTACTTTGATTAAATGAAAATGAACATAAAGACTGCGAATTGTAGCATTAAAATTCATTAATAATAAAATAATATAAAATAATACTAAAAGAGTTCAACAACTGTGATATCATATTAAACAGCTAAAGTTGTTTAATTTTGCTCTTTTTTTCAATTAAAATATAATTTAATTAAAATAAAATAGTAGTTATTCAATTTCTTTATAAAATCTTACCAAAATTTGATGCATTATAGTTTGATATTGTTGTATTTTCATCCTTCTCATTAAATTCGTTAAGAAATATCATTTCTATCTTACTTGCAGGGACTTCAAATAAAGCGCTCCAGAATAGCGCAAAAAAGAAAGTGAGTGTAATATTAGGTAACACATATGAGACGAACTGCAACAAATCCTTTAAAGTAATACATAATGCAGTACCAAACAAAAAAAAAACAATTATTTTTGGTCTCTGCTTCGACAAAATATTAAACTTAGACACAATCGTTCCTTTGAGCGCGGAAATATATAATATACAGAAAAAAAGTTTTTGCTAACCGCTTGAGAAAATCCAGAAAATACGGGTGCTTCGTTGCCCATCGCTATCACATAAAACATGACACAGAAATGTACAAGGTATGCAGAATATGATAGCCGACCAAACGGAATCCAAATATTCCAAGACATAAAATCATTTATAACACCTGAAATTGAATTGTTGCTTGTATTTTTAGCTCGCATTTAAAATTTAAAGATTAAAATAATATAGAATTAGAATTAAAAACCTACCACCATATCCATAATAGCATGATATAGTTATGTATGAAAGGGCGAGTCCCCATAATGGTCTGCTAAACGCAGAATACAAAGCTCTTATTATGAGACTTGGTAAAATGCCATTAACCCAATCCTTCAGTGACAAGATGACCGTCACACCTAAGGCCAAAGATAATATCCACAAAATTATATTTAAGATCTGCAATTTCGTTGCTAACTGATTAAATGAACAGATAGAATTCAAAACAAATGCACGACTTGGTTTATGCGGACAATTCTTGAAACATTGGGTTCCTTGTGCTCATCAAAACGATGTTATAAAAAGCTATATTATGAGAAGCAAACCGGATTTATACGAAGAGATTTTCTTGTTTGCAAGAAATACCCAGTCAGTATTCCAATTATATAAACTTGACATCTTATCCAAGGTGCATCATAAATCAACAATGTGTATTCACTGGAAACAATTTAATACTTAGAATGAAGAGGAAAAATGCTTCTAAAACACCACATAATAGGAAATGAAATAAGAAATATTTCATGATGAATATTAAAATTTTAGACCTGTTAAAATTACTGAATTTACGTTTGAAAGTCAGCAGAAAGCACCAGGAAATTGTATTTATTTATCATAGAAAATATTTATAAAAGAAATGAGAATAGCAGGACCTGTAATCACCCATTCGTGAATCCATAGCTCCTAATATAAAGTCAGCAGGAGGAAAATAAAATTTAACAACAGTGATGGCATTTATAGTAGTAGATGCGACGAATAATGTACTAGAAATTATCCATCCCCACATGGGCCGCAAAGCAAGAGGTACCAATATAAAAGGTGCGAATAAATACATTTGAAAGTCAGTAGCAAGGTACCATGAGATCAAGTAGCACTAAATTAAAATAATTTTCAAAAGAAGTTTTTTTTTTAGTTTGATTTGCCAGATGTGATTAATCTAATTTATACTCAAAATAATTTGTTAATGTTTCAAGACCAATGGTCTGTGAACAAAGTTTCTGAGGTAAAAGAAACATATGAATTTTTTAATTTTTATGAAGATTTTTTTTCACTTCCTTCTAATTGATGCCATAAAAGTTTTCATGGGCTCCCAATGCAATATTTTCAAACATTAAACTAAAATATTTTTTTGATTTATTTTTTCTGCCTCAAGTTGAACTGATCTTATATTCGAAATTGCATAAAATATTGGTTAAAAATTTATTACTATTTAAATAAAATAATCTCTGATGTTCCTGGAATTTGCTGAAGCCACTTCTCTAGTTTAGGGATCACAATTCCAAGAGCTTCCGTTATCATTGCAATTTCTTTGGCCTTCAGTTTCCACATCTCTAACTCCTCTCTCAGATCCTTATAAGAATTATAAGAATTTCGCTATGGGCTTTAAGTGGTCCGTAGAGCGTAATTTGCCAATCATTGATCTAGGCTATTCTAAATTCTACAGCTTTTTTTCTATTAACTTAACTAATATAACAGAATTAGTGCATTGAAGATACTTATTTGTAGAAGGAAGTGGTGTCCCATATCTTCAATGTTAAAGCAAACTGGAGCAAATTGCCAGTTGATGACATTTCTATACTGTTATACTAGTTTTAAAATGAACTGAACAAAAGTTATCCACGAATTTTTTAATGTAAACACGTATTCAATCCATTTTTGCCATTTTTTTCGCCCTATTTGATATTTTAATAAGAGGCAAAGCTTATAATCTTCTAAATAATACATAATAATTTTAAATGTTTTTTTAACCACTTTTTTGCGGTGGTTTGATTAAACAAAAAAAGCAAAAAAAAGCAGAACTTAAACGTAGAAGGGAAAATGTATGGAAAAGTCAGCTGCCTCTAAGATTTACTAACCTGATGCTTATAATCAATGAAATTTGTTAAATATAAGAAATTAATCCACCAGTTCGTCTCACAAGGATCGAGAAATTCGTTCAACATTATTGGCATTTTAGTGAGAAAAGTTCTAAGAACAAAAGTATAAAATGCAACTGCTAGATAATAAGGTGGAGATAGTCGTACAAATCTATGAACAAAAAACAAGATCCAAGCAAAAATCGACAAGTGTTTGGATGGATTTCGTTTGAAGCCCTTAAACCAAATGAACCCCAATAAAAGGCCAGAAAAATAGAAGAAAGTGTCGACAGAAAAAAATGCATTAGTTAAGAACTGAGTTGAGAGATCCTTCAACATTTCCACTGCATCTAACGGATTTGCTGAAAATTAATTTTAAAAAGTATTTTGACTTTATAAAGTAAATAATGTAATATTACCGAGGCAAGTTCTGCTCCTAAAAAGAATAAACCTGACTTTCAAAAATCGGATACTACTTGCGATATACCTGTATTCTACCTTCAAGTTACTCTTAAGCAAAATGATCCAACAAGCCCATCGAAGTGAGCCTAACCAGAAATTAAGAAATTAACGCTCATAGAAAAAAGAGAAAAAAATTAAGCACATCGCTTAAAAAATATATTATCCAATGATATTTGGTCTATAAGTTAAGACTGTAATGTATGGAAGATTTCACCGATATTAATTATCTTAGAAATTCCTGCAGTTCATTTTTCTTTGGCCTCAGTGATCAACTGTTCATTCATTCTCAATAAATTCTCAACAGTCAATGAATTAGTAATAATTTCAGCATAACTTTGCAAAAGACGGAAAAATTCGGAATAAAAATATTTACTTAAAAATTTAAAAATAGTTACTAGAAATAGCACAAAAGACGAGTAGTGAATGACCAATAATAATCCAGATAAGGCTTATAAATCGCATGAAATGAAGTGGACCGATTTGCTCAGGTTTTTTAGCATTGTGAATTGCAATTATGTCACTGATGTTCCTATACAATGAGAAAGACAAAAATATACGATATTTTTTGTCTAAAAATAAGTCGTCTTTTAATCCATTAACAAGTTTTCAGGCGCATGGAATTCACGCTAAATTAGGAACAAAAATGAGAGAATCCGCTTTTTCAAATTTTGATCAATCTTTCAAACCAAGATAATAACGAAAAATTTAAAAATTTTTTCGATACTTGCAATTATCCAAGTCAAATACTAATATTAGCAAATCACGTTATAGTAAAATTTTGCTTAGCCATTAAATTTTTTAAACGATAAAGCAATATTAATCATTTCTGAACATATATTTTTCAAAAAAATTCAAAATTTAAAAAAAGACAACAATAAAACTTACCCGATTGCTTTTTTTCGATCATATTATAATGGTAATAATCAGAAATAGTAGCCATAATAGCAATAAATATGATAAGACAAATAAATGCGCTAAAGATATTTGCTATTCAAGTGATCAATATCAAAATTACGAACATTACGAACATTCTTTTCTTAATCTTTTTGTTTCAAAACAAATATAACTTAGCTAAGATTTAATGGCTTATTTTGCAAGCGTGCAATTTAACTTACACGACGATCCAAGTTTTGAAATCCGTCTTGCGACCTTCATCGATTATCGAAATTGCTTTGCACGCTGGTTGCGATTGATTCAACCTAACTGAAAGTTTTTTTGGCGAGGAATCGGTCATTTCAATTTTTTCTTATTTTTTTTGGTTTAATTTAATGGAAATTGAGCTATACCCATACGCCCGATCGTCAACATATCTTTGGAGCTTTCACAAGACTTTGGAAGACAAACATCAATACCAATAGCGATAATACCAAAATCAGTTGATGGGCATGCATCAGGTATTTTGTAATCGCGCAGCTTCGCATCGAAGAATATTCTGCAAAATATTTAAGCTCAAGTTGCATTTTAAAATTCTATGAGGTTTCATTTTTACTATACCTTCCATAATTGCCTTGAAAATGTCGCTTTCTATTCGGTATCGTATAATCAATTGCAACACATTCGCTATAAAGACCATAGAATGTAATGTGGCCTCGAAGTATGCCTGGTCCTATTTTCCCACTGGCGTCGATCACTGTGATCAAAAAAATTTGCTTACTATTTTGGTTTTTACAAATGGATTTTCTTCATGTTTCATGTTTCTTCATGTTTGAATGCGCTATAATTTAATTTTTAATCATAATTTTTCTTATTTTAAACAGCACGCACCATTGCTAGTTAAGTTGGATCAGCTAGCTATAAGTATAAGATATTTGTGAATCTCTCAATCCGAAGCCACACAAGCCACTCCTTTTTCACCGTCTAAGCCTGTTGACCGCCTGTACGATCGAAATATCTCCTCTAACCATATTGGTCCAAACCTTAATTGAACTTTCTCGCTTTCGACACCATAGGGTTTAGCAAGGTGAAAGAATTGTATGATACAATTTTTGCCATAGGAGACGAAGAACATAGCTAAACTAGCAGGCATCGATTATAACGACAGATCGTCTAGTGAATCTTCTTCTTCTAACAGCTCTCACCATTATTGGTTAGACTGGTACAAGAGTACGACGTTCCCAAGCGGCGCGGTATGATGCCATCGTCGACAGTAATAAAAGTCATTCCTTTTTTCATCGTCTAAGTTTTATGAAGAAGGCGGGATAGTTTCTTATTATTCTCCTAATCGAGCCGCCCTCTCCATTCTCAAGGCCATGCCGCTCCAATAGTGATTTCTGTGATTCTATAACACCTTGCTGCTGCTGTCATTGCAATTCTTGCCATGAAGCAGTTCAATCCGGTAGTTATGATATTCGTGCTTTCACAGCATTTTCAGTTGGACAATTGCTTCCCATACCCGACTAGCGCAGTTCCTACTAGTATGCCCGTAAAATGGCTGACTTTCAAAGACATTCCTTTAGTTGGGATCGGTATTCAACTGCCGTTCCAGAAAATTCATTTATAGCACTGAGATGCTTCAATAAATCGGTTTGAAATGCAATATAGCCAGTACCTATGTTCGGAGACAGGTTTAATAATTGCTCGACACCCGAAGTGAGGAAGACGGACCTCCGACAAGCGGTATCGACATAATATTTAAAAAGGGTGTAGACAGTGATTGGTTGACTTACAAAGTCCATAAGTGTCCTAAGGTTCCATGCTGATATGACTAATACCTCACTCAGCGTGCAGGGAACCGATCCTTTTGATAGGGTCCGAGCAATTGTCTTGATTTGCCAGCACATTTTACTTATGAACATGCCCAGATATACGCCCAGATTGCATATTTATCGAATACCACCGGACTGGGAGTATTATGCGTTGGAAGTCGCTAACGCCGTATCAAGAAAATCTACCGTTCCACCACAGAGTCATTTGAGGATAGAGTTACAGGTGGGTCCACAGCAGCAACTCGGATTTTTGACATAACAGGTTTATTCCTGTCAAAGACAGACATAATGTTATATTATTTTACAATATTATCGTAATATTATTACATAAAATATTATATAAAATTATATTATATAAAATAGCATAAGATGAGAAAAAAATTTTAAAAAAAATCAACTTTAATAGGAGAAAAAGGAAAAGGAAAAAAAACTTATCGTTTATGATTCTCAAACGAATAATTGATAATCAATAATACTCAAAAATAACAATTATTACTATTTATTACTACTTCTTGGTAGAGCAGTTGGAAGAACCGACCGCTTACCCACTGCTCTTGAAAGACTAATTCTAATGAAGGTGGATGAAATTATGCGATTTTATAAAAAAAAATTTAAAAAAAATATTGAAATATTTATAATCGCAACTGCAGAATATAGCAGAAACGGTCATTTTTTGAAGAGGGCAAGAGTGTTATACTGTGAATTCAGACAAAAACGGGTTCGATCACTGGTTTTTGATGAGAGCAAGCATTATTATAGCTAAAATCTAGTACTGCAGAACCGCTTCCCACAAGTACATCGCTGGAGAAAAGTTTTACCTCATTAACCAATGAATCCAGCCAGAAATGATAAACGCTATTAGAAGAAAAGAATTTTAGAAAAAATGTGAGTGAATTTTATGTGATAAAAATTTAGACATATGGTTTAGACACAAATCAATATTTGATCAATTATTTCATTTCGAACGCACTTAAGAAAATAGTTGTTCAGTAAAAAAAAACAATGTAAAATTGTTTATCGATTGAATGGTTTTAGTTGATAGCTTTAAAAATCACTTGGTACTAAAGCACTGCCTAAAAACTCGGTTAGATTGCCATGTATAATTTGTTCAGTAGGGTCGATGATGAGCAGCAAATCCTCGAGACAGTCTAAAACAGTGTCAGTTGCAACAATGCTAAGATGGCGAATAATGTCAATTTTATCTGATCATTTATATAAAACATTGTAATAATTCTGTATGTCCTGAAAAATTCTCATTTATTTCCTCCACAATCAGATAAATTTTTTCAGCCCTTAATTAATGCTCTCTTAAAAATATCCTCTTGCATCTCATATAACCATTTAAACCTTTCAGATTCTGTCTAATCTTCTTAGCATTTAGTGCATTTAGTGTGAAAGTAGTGCATTTTTTACGGGGTCATTTTATCTCATCAAAATTCATCAAATTACTGCTAAGTTTTCCCAATGTTTCCTTTCATCCAACCTTGCAACTATTTTGAACTGCACTATCTTTCCATATCCAACCAATTATTTGCTTAGATCTATCCTTAAAAAATTTACTCGATTTTATCAAAATTCATCTCATTACCTCTCAAATTCCCGTCCTCAATTCCTATATAAGTCCCTATCCTATTCTAGTTTTAAAACTCTTCCATTTTAAAACCTTTGAAACGCTCGAAATCTTACTTTCCTATCCTCTCATGTGCTTCCAGCGCAGACTGAACCTCCATCGAACCTTGCTGTACTCTTTAGGTCAAGCCCCATTAATATTACCATGAACGTTCTAACGTGACCTTAATTCTCAGATGTCATTAAAGCTGATTGATAATATTTTCCCATTTACCCTCAAAATCTCTTCAATATTTCACCAAAACTCGCTGCTAAAAGTCAGTAGAAATATATATGTAATAATAAATAATAATAAATATAATAAATAATAGTAATAAATATAATAAATAAAACATAATTATAAATAATATTATAATAATTATTATTTATACTGCTGTATTTTTTATTTAATCAATAATTTATCATCAAAGCACAAAAACCTGTAATGCTGCCTAAATTCTTTACTTTTCTAAAAGACTTAAGGGCACTAATTCGCAATAATATGAATGATATTACTTGAACCTTATGCAGCTTATTTTTTCTACAGCCACAAATTATAAAATTTGAATTAAGGTGATGCGAGGCATCCAAGGTGTGTAACGAAACTCTGAAGGTATTAAGGAAATACAGTGGAAGAAAATTCTACTCCTGCATACGACGGGTTTTTTGCTGTTTTATATATAAAGGTAGCAAGAGAAAAGGTTTATCTCTTAAGCGTCAAAGTTCATGCCTCCTGTCCGATGGTAATAAATCTGCTATTATTAAAATATCCGAAGAACTCCTCTATTTCTCTTAAAATTTCTTATCGTACTAATCAAAAATAATGCCAACTATTTATTTAGTTTTACTTACTTATTACAATCTGTGCAATCATTTATACAAATTTTTTATATTTTATCATTTTTCGAGGAAATTCTCATTTTTCTTGATTTTGCTAAATGTAATGTTATGAAGGTTTAATAAATGCATTAGTTATTATATTTATTATATTTGGATGAAAAATTATCATTTATCATCAATTATCAATTTTCTGATCAGAAAATTAACCACTGGAGAGTTCAGTTTCGGTTTGACGAATAGATTCTTTGTGAATAAAAGCCCAAGGAACAAGTTCATTGTCATTCAAAATGGCCTTAATTCTGTGCATTTAAAATTTCAAAATTTTACTTAAACAATAACAAACATATTAAAATGTAAAAATGTTGAAATTTCTTAGAGAATCGGTTCGTAAAATAGTAGATAAGAAGATCAGAATTTTAATGGCCAATTTTTGCTGATAATGAAAATATTATTATTTGAAGCGATTAAATCTCTCTTCTTCTCGATATCTTTCATCTGGTGAAAATTTGTAACAATTTTACATTTTGGCCTGATTTCAGAATATAAAGAATTAAAATCACAGTCACGAGACAACAATTTTACCTGCAGCGAAAGCAGTAAATCAGCCTTCCCTTCAGTCATAAGGAAATGCTTGCAAGATGCAATAAAAAGAACTCACATTTTTTGCTTGATTGACAATATTTATTCGATTCCCCACAATTCCTCTAATTATTTCCACATTGTATGAGTTTAATGGCAAAATAAAGTGGAATTGCAAGCAAAATATCATAGTCATATATTTCCGCATTTCACTGAAATGTACATCGACAAAAAAGCATCCTGCGATAATGAAAATATTAAAATGCAAACCAAGACTCTGAGATAATTTTTAAATAAATATAAATAAAACAAAAGTATAAATATAAATACAAATTTATAAATAAATATATAAAATATAAATATAAATAAAAATTTCCTCATTTAAGAAAATATTAAATTCAAGCTGAATTTAAGCTAAAATGGTGGAAAACTTGAAAACTAGAAGTACGTTATATCTGTATTTAAGTGCAAAATATATTTACGGCACGTTATCTTTCATATTTATATTATTTATTTGATGGTATGTACTGCCAGCTAAATTTAAGCTGAAAACAACATTCGAATCGTCAAATTTTAAGATTTTTCTTGTACTCAATCTTAAAACTCTAACGTAATAATAAAGTAATGATGCATATAAGCGAATTCACATTTATAACATTTTTATTTATTTGAAACCTTGCGAAGAGAGAAAGAAATATTTCATTTGTAGAAATAAAAATTATAGCAAGCATGTCTCGCAGAAAAAAACGAAAGATAAGCACATTTCTCAAGCCATAATGAAATGATGACTAAAATTATTATCTAAAATATTCTTTGATAATAAATTTCTGCCATTTCATTAAGAGAATCGCGATAAGAGAGATAAGAAATTGGTAAATGTGGTCACAATGATAAAGATTGCAAAAAAAAGAATGCTCACCTTATAAATTTATAAATTTAATCATTAGTCATACACTGGTTATAATAACAATTATTGCGGAGTAATTGTAAATTGCTTTCTCCCTAAGTTTCAGTCAACATTCGTGCTAAGTATCCTATTGCTCAATTTCAATTAAATTTTTTTTTCAAGCTTTTTTTGCCATATCTCTTTGAAGTCGCTAGAAAATGGTTATTTTCGGATGCTATTGGCTATATTACTCCAAATTCCATCATTGAAATTTATTGGAGTTTTTTGGAATTTCATCACATCATAAACCAATTAATCGATTCAGTTCAATAAACTTTGGTTTCAGAAAAAAGGCCCAATTAATGAAAAAATCATGGTTTAAGTGTCGCATTTTATTTCTTTATTTACGAATTACAAATGAGTGAGTTAAACATTTTGTTTTGAATGCTCTTTTTGGAAAAGCTATGATGAACTTTTCGAAATGAAAATGTACTTCACAATACTTATTCAAATTTATGCACATATTTTAATATAAATATACAAAAATATAAATATAT